CACTTCAACTTTAAAATATGCGGACTGAGCAAAATTCTCCTCCGTCCCTAGACTAGAGAGTGTTGCGATAGATGGACAAACGGCTTGGTTTTATATATGGCAGCGTCAGGTGTTCATTTGTTACGTGCGATGCATTTCAAATTTGGAAGACAGATTTTTTTTTAAAAAAAAGCACACACCTTCTCTCAAGGAGAGAATATCTTGTGTAGCAAATCTGGAAGGAAGATTGCCCCGATTTTTAAAAGTGGCATTTTTATATGCAAAATGCATCAGGTTTAGGGAAGGTTTCTGGAATGCTTCCCACACAGAAGGGTTGCGTCGCCCCTTTTAAGGCTCGCCTCTCTTTCCGCTGGGCTTTTCCATCTCTCCAGAGGTTTTCAGAATTCCCACAAGATATCAGGCAGAGTCCAGCAGCAGGTATTTCAATGCCCTGGCATACAGCTAATTATTCCGAGGCATGAGTCATACCCTCCAAACCATTAATTTGGTTCTGAAGCCATGACATCTGACTGCACAAACACTGCAGACGTTTGATGTTCTCGTTTAATTGCTTTCTGTTTTTGGAGGCGTTTAGGATACACTTTTAGGCACACACTTTCAAGGTTTATCTCCAAAACGAGGGCAGATGGTGATGGAAAGTTGACCATGGACCGAGAGTCTGAAAGAACAGGCAGCACATAAGAATGGCACCTTTCACAGGCAGGAACCAACAAGAAGTAAAACATCTGGACCCCATGTATGGACTTATGGAATGGTGTCAAGAGGTTGGACTGCAGCAGGACCATTGGTTCTAATACTACTACTACTACGACTACTACTACTTTATTATTTTTACCCCACCCATCTGACTTCCCCAGCCACTCTGGGCGGCTTCCAACAAAATATTAAAATGCTGTAATGCATCAAATGTTAAAAGCTTCCCTAAACAGGGCTGCCTTCAGATATCTTCTAAAAGTCTGGTAGTTGTTGTTCTCTTTGACATCCGATGGGAGGGCGTTCCACAGGGTGGGTGCCACTACCAAGAAGGCCCTCTGCCTAGTTCCATGTAACTTGGCTTCTCGCAATGAAGGAACCGCCAGAAGGCCCTCGGCGCTGGACCTCAGTGTCTGGGCAGAACGATGGGGGTGGAGACGCTCCTTCAGGTATACTGGGCCGAGGCCGTTTAGGGCTTTAAAGGTCACCACCAACACTTTGAATTGTGCTCGGAAACGTACTGGGAGCCAGTGTAGGTCTTTTAAGATTAATTAATAATCACTATACCACTTGATGCCAAAGCAGGCATCTTATCCTGCACTTCCTACCCCTAACTCCTTGTAAGATGTATTGCAGAACGATCATTGTGTTGTTGGAGAACCCCATGCCCAGGGCCAAATTTAGCTCCACCCCAGGCTTCTCTGTCTTGTCCTTGGTCATTCCCCCTGCTGGGCCTGCGTTCCCCCCTCCTTGAGTACTTTTCCTGGGCTGGAATGTGGCCTTGATCTCTGACAATGCCTCTTGGTAGGTTATGAGCATGTGCAGAAAATAGGCTACTGTACAGAGGTGAAATTTGCATGTGTTGCCCCGCCCACTTGTGCCCCTGGCTCCGCCCACCACAGGCATGTGGCCCTCAGAAGACTACCTGGAAGTGAATGCGGCCCTCGTGCTGGAAAAGGTTTGCCGCTCGATTTACTTTATGAGAATTGTTTTAAAAATAATAAAACTGGGATGTTATGGTGGAGCAAATGTTTTGAATAATCCTTTTTATCTGACAGAGAATCGGAAGGCCTTTTTCTTTTCTTTATTCCTTTTCTTCATCCATACTCACCTCTCTCTCTTTTTTGCTTTTGTTTTTATATAAGATTAGGGTTTATATATATATATTGTGCAATAAAAAAGCTTTAATTAAAAAATTATGCAAAAATAAAACAAAACTAATTAAAAAAGGAGGGCAGAAATCTGCTATATTCCAATGATTATACTTCCTAGGTTTCAAACCTTCCTAACTCCTCAATACCTATTTCTAAGACTGCGACCTTCTACGTACTTTATATAGGAGGAAACTCCATTGAATTAAGTGGGAGTTGCTTTTTGGAGAACCATGCATAGGATCCGGCTGAAAACACACGCCTGCCAACCGTAATGCCATAGCTGTCAACTTTTCCCTTTTCTTGCGAGGGATCCTATTCGGAATAAGGGAATTTCCCTTAAAAAAGGGGAAACGTTGACAGCTATGCGTAATGCAAACCTCCACATTTCTAACGGCAACTTAAATGATTCTACCAAGACACTGTTACCATTTCAAAATTATTGCTCTTGCTCTTCTAAAGATAAGCCACTAATCTGCAGAGGAAATATCATGAGAAAAAGAGAAGAGAAAGATATAGTCCTGCGTGATCTTTTGGTTCACCCACTCTTTCATTTCATTTTTATTTTTGAGATTTAGTCTCTCATAATCCAAGCCGATAGCCTGAATGTGAGAACAGGGAGCATTTGCTCAAGCCCAGACCTGTGGCTAGAAGATAAACCAAGTTTAGGAATCCCTGCTGACTTCAATTAGCAAAGATAAGATAACCTACTCCTTTAGAGGGGCTTGCCCAGCTTCCTGTATCTCCAACGCCTTTCGAATTTGGAGGTTCAGACAAAATTAAGACTATAATTTATTGGTTCATTCACTTAGAGACAAGATAAGGGAACATCAGCCAGAGCATGTAAGGGGAATGGAAATCCCTATGGTGAGAGCGTTTGTTGGCTGATGTCGCCAGATTTGTGTTGCAAGCATATGGAAACAAAAAACAGTTGTTGGTTTAATGGTTTTGATTTACATGGATGTATTCATTGGGCAGGATGCAAAGGTGCTAGTTTTGACCCATTAAGCCCTATGCGGCCTAGGACCCACGTACCTACGGGACCGCCTCTCCTGGTATGCCCTGCGGAGGACCTTAAGGTCCACAAATAACAACACTTTGGTGGTCCCGAGCCTCAAGGAGGTTAGCTTGGTTTCAACTAGGGCCAGGGCCTTTTCAGCACTGGCCCCGACGTGGTGGAACGCTCTGCGAGACTTGACATCTTTCCGCAGGGCCTGCGAGACAGAGCTGTTCTGCCTGGCCTTTGGTTTGGACTCACTCTGACCCTTATGTTTCCCTCCCCTTATGGTCTTGATTTATCAGCTATTTTAAAATTGCATTTTAACCTGTATTTTAAGTTGGTTTTTTTCCCCTCCCTCTCTTTTCCCCCTATTATGTTTTTACTGTGATTTTATTTTATTGGGGTTAGCCGCCCTGAGCCCGGCTCTGGCCGGGGAGGGCAGGGTATAAATATTATTATTATTATTATTATTATTAAACAGCTATGGTCAGGGTTGGGGAAACTGTGGCCCTTTAGATGTTGATGGATTCTAACTCCCATCATCTCCAGCCATTAGATGTGTTGGGCTTGGACTGATGGGAGCTGAAGTTCAACGCAAGTCCAACGTAAGCAGCGTCCGCTGGCTCTGGCTAATGACCCATCTAGTCCAACACCCTGTTGTCACAATGGCCAATCAGATGCTTACTTGTGAGTAAACCCCTTGGAACTTGATCAGCATTGCCTCACAAGTAAACATGTACAGCATCTGGCTGCAAGCCACAGAACTGGAAGATGGATGAAAAATAATAAATTAAACTTGAAATATAATCAAAAGGTGCATAGATATATATTTTTTTTAAGAAGAAAAAACCCAAACCCTGAACACTCCCGCAGCTGAAAAAAATAGAAAGAACCGCCTCGTTCGTTCTGTCTTTTTTCATTCTCACGAGATCAGCCATATCCACAGCTGTCTCTATCAAGTTACAAGAACATTGTCAGGCTTAGAATATTGTTTGAAAAGAAAAGCCTGCACCTGCTCCTTGATTCAATAAGAATAAATTTTCTGCCCCAGTCCCTGGATGGATGAACATAGAATTTTCAAACAATAATTTCAAACCACGCATTAGGTGAGGGTTTTGTTTAGTTTCGTTTTAAAAGGATTCAGAACAGAGCAGTAACACAATCCCTGGGGTGACAAATTTGGAAGCTATTGCGTGCCCCTTAGTCCTTAGTTTGATTCCTGCAGTCAAAACTTGTTTTTGCCTTTCTTGCCCTCCTGGAGAACACCAGACCCAAATATTTTCCAAATTGCTGGGGGGAAAAGAAGGCTGGCAAGCCATCTGCAGAGAGAGAGAGAGAGACAGACAGAATAGAAAACCTCAGGGCCTTTAGTTTTATTGGAAACATTTTCATGGGGGGAAAGAAAGAAAATAAATGGCCATGATCCAGCATGTTTCCACTGGGGGAGGACAATTGTAGATGGAAACCCTATGCTAGACTTCCTCAACCTGTCGCCTCTCCAGATGTTTTGGACTACAATTCCCATGAGCTGCGGTGACTGAGGCTGACGGGAGTCGTGGCCCAAAACATCTGGAAGGATTCAGTTGGGGAAAGGCTGCCCAAAAATGTCCTCCCTGCCCCAGGCACTCCCAAGGAATGTGAGCAGGCAGGTAGTAGACCAAGTGCCTTTTGCCCATACCAGAAAGGAAGGTCACCAGCATTGTATATGTCAAACAGATGTGGAAAAGGCATTTTACCAGTTTTCTCAAGGCCTGCCCCCAGGCAATCCAACTGGCTATGTTCCAAAGCAACTTGGGTGACAGATATGAATGAGTACACGAAAGGCAAAGGAGGGAGTCGAATTGCTTGCTGCTGCCTGCTATCCATTGAGCAGATCTTATCATCCCCAAGGCTGCCGCTCTGCAGTCTCTGCGGCCTGCTAGCTTGCACTTTGGCATCAGGGTTGGGATCCGTTCTGCGCCACTCTAGAAGTGACCCCACCTCAGCCCAGGGCAATTCCAGGACACGGCCTGTGCAAGGAAGGTCTCTTGCAGACTTTCTGGAGGGAGCAGCACTGGCTATGCAGGGCCCAGCCAGCGTTGTTCATCTCTGCAGTTGACCCTAGTGACCACAGACAGGTGTTACTTGCCGCCTGGTGTGGGGAGACGCCCGCCGTGTCATGTGTTCTCCTGGGCCAGCCCTTCGGGACAGGGAGTCTGGTTTTGGGGTTTCAGCAGGTGTATGGCAGGCTGCGTCTGGGCCATGGTGTTGTGCTGGGGGTCCGCCGCGGCGGCGCCAGATCCTGCCGGCGCGTGGCGCAGGTGCTTCCTGTACTGCGCAAACATGCAGACCTTGAGGGCGATGGCCAGCACATTCTTGCCCATGAAGATGCCGGAGACCCGGATGTCCCTGAAAAACACCATGTTGCTCCCCCTGATGAAGATGGTGGCGATGTTGATGGTGAGCATGCTCAGCATCGGGTAGAGCATCATGCGGTGAGGCACGATGCTGATCCCTTGCATGCTGATTTCGCACAGCGAGACGCAAGGCAGGACCAAGAGTAGGATGTAGCAGTAGAAGAACATCAGGCCTTCAGCCCAGATGGGAAGCCCTTTCTTCTGGGGCTCCCAAAGGTTGGCCTGGATGTCTAGCACGTCCAACATGTCCACAATGACCCAGAAGAGCCGGTTGCGGAGGTCCTCCTTCTTCTTGAACGTCCTGACGTATTCCATGTGCTCTGTGGCCACCAGTAGAATGTACAGGGCCGGGATGCAGATGGAGAGCAGGAGGGTCAGAGCTTTGCGCGCCATGAGGTCCAGGCTTTTGCGGTCCGCTTTGTAGTTCTGGTAGATGAAGTAGACCTTGATCTCCAGCACAAAGACGTACAGGAACCAGAGGATCATGGCGTAGCCTCGCTTGGCGGTCCTCACCTCGGCCCCGACCCAGACGGCCACATATCTGAGCACAACCAGGAAGCAGATGTCCCCGACGGAGACCATGATGCAAATGCCCAGTTTCCGGGAGCCCTGGTTCTGCTCTACCAGGTAGGCGTCCATCAGGACCATGCTGCTCATTATGAGGGTGGTAGAGAGGCAGACGTGGGGCTTGTTAATGGGTGGGGGAGGCACCATCCTGCAAAGAAGATGCACACGTTAGTCAAAACATTTTAAGGGCTCCTGAGTCATCACGGCCATGCACTCTGCCCATCCCTGACGTACTGTGCATTACGCAGCTTTCAATAAGGATGTCAAGCCTTCTGTATCTCTGCACCAAAGAGCCCCTCAGCTGCACAAAGCAAATCAATCTCCTCTTAGTGCCCATGGGGATCGTATGGCTATCGTACTCTAGCCCTGGAAACTGAACAGGGGTGTTTCATTCAAGCTGTCCTGAATGTACCTGAATGAAAGTGCTTTCCAAGCCAGAATCTATAACATTTTGGGATAATGGTACTGTACTTTGAGCACTTCGGGGAAAAGGTTACATAAGTACTAAGCTTCTCTCTACTTATTAAAAAAAGAAGAAAATGTGCCAAAAATATATATCAATTTGCTAGGAGCTGACGGTCCCAACAGGGCAAAGAAAATATTTTGGATTACAAGCAACTTACGTTCCAGGCCCCCGTGCGCATAAGCAAAATGAACTTAAGTGGGGGACACCCTCTAAACACTTCTTTTTCTTTTCTTATATACAGTACCTTTGCCTCCAGATCACCAGAAAGGGCAGGGAACAGTACGCCTGAGCCCTCTACAAGGCAGCTTCCTGCCAAACAGCTGTCAAGTGGAGCAGCGCAGCAACAGCGACAGATCCCACATGCCGTTTTAGAGTCCATAAGTTGTTGGGTTTTTGAAGCTTTTTAAATTTTTGGAATTTTGGCTCACTGACGTCCTCTGGGAGGGTCTCCTCGTGAGCCATGCGGACTTTCCATCTCTCTCCCGCCATTCCCAGGTCTGAATTATTTACCTCCCATTGCTGTGCATGTGTGCAGTCACACACGAGTGAGGAGTTGCCTGCACTAAGTACTATTGGGAAATTTCAATAGTAAGGAACTTTTTTCCAACCCAAGGGCCATATAACCTTCTGGGCAATGTCCTGAGGGCCACAGGCCAGTGGCAGATGAAAGAATGAATGTGAATTTTTCCTTTGTGCTGCGGACAGGAAAGTTTCTGTAGCTCCTTCCTTATCCTCCATCTAGACAAGCAGGAGGCATTATGGGAGTTTGAGGCCACATTCCAGCCAAGGAAAATACACTTGGAGTGCCCAGGAGGGGTGTGGCCTGCAGAGAGTTCCGAGGGCCAGTTAAAAGGTCCTGGAGGGCCGCACTTGGCTCCTGCGCCTGAGGTTCCCCACCCGCAGAAGGAAATGCAGCCCTCAGGATGAAAGGCCCTGCTCTAGATTCTACATCCCAGAATCCTTTGCAACGCACTGGTATTCTACAGGGGTTGCTTAGCAGACATCTAGATGAGAAACGGCTCCAGGAAAGTAAAGTCTGAAAAACGCTCCTGCAAACCAAAGCTGGTTAGCATTTGGGAGGAGAGAAAACAACATAATGGCTTGCTCTGCGCATGAAATCATTCCAGTTGTGCGCCGCCGAAATGTGGGGCCTGCCTCCTTATTGAGCGGAATGGCTTTTGAAATGCAGATGCACTGGAGGCGATCAAGTTAAGCCCGCGTTCCCACAACCACCGCAGGCATTATGTTTTCATTATATTTTCTGTGCCTCAGCCTCTTGCACGCATGGTGTGGGTAGGGCTTGGAATAGCAAGGCTTATTAAGCCGGCTGCTAAGGTTGCCTTTAAAATTCCAAGGCTTGCAGTGCTCCCGCTGAGCCAAGAGACCCCCTGGGCCAGAGAGGCATCAGCAGGAGGAGGTGAAAGCTAAGAAGGCTTCCTGGCGCTGGGGAGCATCTGAGAAGGGAGGGAAGGAGATGCAAAGTGGGAGAACAAGCTGGGATGGAAGGAGAGTCTATCGCTTAAAACAATATATATATATCAACTTTAGTTGAAGGGTGGTAGCTCAGTGGCAGAACAACTGCCTTGCCTGCAGAAGGCCCCAGATTCGATTCCAGGTGCTGCCTCCAGGCAGGGCTGGGAAAAGCTCCTCTCTGAATACCCGGAGAGCAGCTGCCAGTCAGAGTAGACCATACTGGGTCTTCCATAGGAACACAGGCAGTGTCATTAAGGGGTGTGGTCCATGGAGAGGAGGTGTGATTGAGGAGGGTTTGTATGCATTGTAGGGGGTTGCACTAGACAATACTTGGGGTGCCTTCCAACTCATAATTTATTTATTTAGAAAATTTCCAGGCCCCTTGGTTTTTTTAAAGAAAAATCTGACTTTGTATACAGCAAACCTCCTTTCCTATGTTCCTATGAACTGACCCCAGCCTCTGGGTTCTGGGATGCAGCCACACCACCAACAATCTGGTCGAAAACTGACTATCTCTATTCCAGCAGTTCTGGGAGGCTCACTATAGCACAGAATTGGGTTTGTCCAACCTAAAGTAAGGGTCACTGTGATTAAGGAAACCTCATGAAGGCTTAAATGCCCCATGTATCTAAAAGGTTAAGGTAAGGTAAAGGACCCCTGGACGGTTAAGTCCAGTCAAAAGTGACTACAGTGGTACCTCGGGTTACAGACGCTTCAGGTTACAGATTCCGCTAACCTAGAAATAGTACCTCGGGTTAAGAACTTTGCTTCAGGATGAGAACAGAAATCCTGCTCCGGCGGCGTGGCAGCAGTGGGAGGCCCCATTAGCTAAAGTGGTACCTCAGGTTAAGAACAGTTTCAGATTAAGAATGGACCTCCGGAACGAATTAAGTTCTTAACCCGAGGTACCACTTTATGGGGTTGTGGCGCTCATCTCACTTTTAGGCCGAGGGAGCCGGCGTTTGTCCGCAGACAGCTTTCTGGGTCATGTGGCCAGCAGGACTAAACCACTTTTGGCACAACAGAACACTGTGACAGAAACTAGAGCACACGATAATGCTGTTTACCTTCCCACCACAATGGTACCTATTTATCTATTTGCACTGGTGTGCTGTTGAACTGCTAGCTTGGTAGGAGCTGGGACCGAGCAATGGGAGCTCCCCCCGTTGTGGAGATTCGAACCGCCGACCTTCTGATCGGCAAGCCCAAGAGGCTCAGTGGTTTAGACCACAGCGCCACCCGCCTCCAGGGATCTAATGCTAGACTTCCTGAGGGTAGTAAAGTTTGGAGGGACCTCCAAGGGTCATCTGGCGCAACCCCCTCTAATGCAGGAACCCCACCTAAAGCATCCGTGACAGATGGCCATCCAAGCTCTGCTTAAAAACCTCAAGGAAGGAGCGTCGACAACCACCCCAAGGGAGTCCGTTGCACTGCCAAACAGCTCTTACTGTCAGAAAGTTCTTCCTGATGGTTAGTCGGAATCTCCTTTCTTGTAAGTTGAAGCCGTTGGTTCGAGTCCTACCCTCCAGAGCAGGAAAAAGCAGGCTTGCTCCATCTTCCATGTGACAGCTCTTCTAATATTTGAAGATGGCTATCATATCTCCTCTCAGCTAAATATACCCAGCTCCTTCAACCATTCCTCATAAGGCATGGTTTCCAGACCTCTGATCATCTTGGTCGCCTTCCTCTGCACATGTTCCTGCTTGTCAATATTGTTCTGAATCTGTGGCACCTGGAACTGGACACAACACTCCAGGTGTGGTCTGACCAAGGATGAATAAAGGTAAAGGTAAAGGGACCCCTGACCATTAGGTCCAGTCGTGGCCAACTCTGGGGTTGCGGCACTCATCTCGCTTTATTGGCAGAGGGAGCCGGCGTACAGCTTCCGGGTCATGTGGCCAGCATGACTAAGCCGCTTCTGGAGAACCAGAGCAGCGCACAGAAACACTGTTTACCTTCCCGCAGGAGCGGTACCTATTTATCTACTTGCACTCTGACGTGCTTTTGAACTGCTAGGTTGGCAGGAGCAGGGACCGAGCAACGGGAGCTCACCCCGTCACGGGGATTCAAACCGCCGACCTTCTGACCAGCAAGTCCTAGGCTCTGTGGTTTAACCCACAGTGCCACCCACGTCCCTTAAGGATGAATAGAGTGGTACTATTACTTCTCTTGATTAGAACACTGGGCATGACTGACTTGGCTTTGTTAATTGCAGCGGGTGTACTCTGATACAACCTCACCAGTGTAAGAAGATTAATCAGTGAAAGATTTTATCTACCCAAGCCTCTGGATCTAGGTACAAATTAGGAATGTGATACAGATAAATTGAAATATTTTTAACAAGTCCCATTTATTTTAGAGGGAGAGGTTTAAAAGTGATTCACTTTGTCTTCTGTCCCTGTTTAGGCCTATAGTTATAGAAGTGGATAGCGACATTCCTTTCTGGTTACCAGGGTATAAACTGTATTTATAAGATTATTTTGATGTGGTTTTCACTGTCAATTTCTTAGCACTGCATTTGAGCAACACGGGGGAAACAGTTTTGAGACATTATAAACAAACACTTCAACGGAGAGGCGGATTTTAGTATTCTTGTACATGCAATGCGTTTCTAATTGTTTTTAATTCTGAATTTTCAATTGTTGTAACCCGCTCTGGGTCCTGCTGGTGAAGGGGAGGCAATAAATTTAATAAACAACAATAATAGCAGCTTTCAAAAAGATACATAGGTATTGGACTTACCATTTGAACAGCAATCAAAACACTTTGCATCTCATTAATCCATACTGCAATTCAGGTGAATATTATTATCCTCATTTTAAAGGTGTGGGGGGAGTAACGTTGTGGCCCAGAGATAATGGGTAGCTTAAGACCACCTTCTGAGCTCACGGCAGAGGTGAGATTTGAACAGTCTTCTGTAGTACGAATCCATGCTCAGTTATTTGGGAGTAAGCTCTATGAAAGAGGGTGAGATTCAATCCTGAGCAAATAATAGGATCAGGTTGTTAGTTGCTGCACTGTGCAAGCTCTGAAGACTCTTAAGTTACAAAGGGCAGCAACTGCGAGGATGGCTTTGACAGGGGAATCAGGGATTTGTTCAGTGATGTACTTGAGAAGACAGCTAATGGCATTCACAACTGCAGATGTGGAGAGATGCAAGTTCCAGCGAAGACAAGCAAAACGCAACAAAAGAAACTACGAAGATTAGAGACAAGAGCAGAAAATAACACAGCAAACAATCAGGAGTCGGAATCAATGCAGATAACAGATCTGCGGAGAAAAAAATCCCAAATGAGGCATGGAAGGCAGAGACCAGAACACTTTCAGGCTGCTTGAAATGAGATATTTTTCCACCACACGCAGCACTTTTGTGCGGGTGTGTGTGTGTGCAGAAACGTGCAAGCTTGTGTGCATGTTCCCTTTGCTTGGTCTCCCCTCTTTGCTGTGTTTGATCCTCCCTGCCGCTTGTATATATATATCCATTGATAAAGTTGCCAGGAGCCCTAACGAAGAGCAATATTAGTATAGATCGCTCTGTGCAGAATTTATGCCTCTTCCAGGTTTAACTGGTTTTTAAGAGCAACGTATTAAGTAGTGCCACAACATTAAGTAGCAAGCAATAAAATAGCTGTCACAGGCTCTAGGCTCTCATCTAGTTGAGCCAATATGCTTCTCGTGCCCAGACCTAGCCCTAGTTGGACCGCAACACAGGAGGACAGGTATAGACTAATCAATACTGGGCTAATGGTAGCTACCTTCACATGCTGCAGGCAGGTAAAGACAGATGATCGACACAAACAGGAGTGAAACAGAGGCGACACCGATGCACCACCTACTTATTTAATCCAGTTTCCAACCTCTCCTCTCCTAAAGAATATCCTAAGAAGACAGTCCACAATAAAGCATGAATTTATGAATTCCCAAACAAAAAACCCAGGAATGTTCCTAAAAGAAGGAAAAAATATTCAAGGCGTGTAAGAAAACATCAGGAACGGGGCTGGTCGAGTGATAACCAAGGCTATCCTATTCGGAGCAGACCCATTGAAATAAATGGAGTTATGGTCACTGATGCCAATGTGTCTACTCTACATTGGGTATCATTCACTGTTTTTAATTTTTTAATATTTTAACCATGGCAACAACAACAAATGATTCCTTTCCCCACATCCTAGTTATATTGCTGAGATGAAGAGACCTTGGAGTAAGTGTAGGGAAGACAGTAAGCTCCATTCAGTTCTGCAACTCGGACCAAAATACCCCGAATCCAAATTCTTTAATTGTGTGCTTTGGATTTTGGGGGTCTAGTAAACAAAGTAGACCCTGCGAGCATGAAGTCTGCCCACCGCTGACCCAACGCACATGGTGCCTAAAGAGCGAAGTGTGTCGTAAGGAAAGGGTCTTTGGCAAGGAGGAAAAAGTTACAGCTAGCAAGAATTAGGCTGCATTACAGAGAGAGAAAGAAACAGCCTCTGCTGATAGAGATGGAAACAGCGTCATGAAATCATGCGATTTAGAAATTCAAGAAGCCTTTGGGTTAACCTTTACAATTTTGCAAAAAGTGTTTTCTGCCAGGGGTGAGGAATCTTAAGCCTGGGAGTCAAATGTGGTGCTGCAAGCCTCTTTATTAGGCCCTTGAGGCTTTAACTAGGTCACACAACCTCCCTGGTCTTTGCTCAGTGCCCTCCTCGCGTGCTTCTGCCTGACTGGAATATGTGATAATCCCTCTCGCCTGCCTGTATGTTTGATGGAAAGATTAGAGTAGGTGTGGGAAACTCTGAATTTTTACACGGATGGAATGTTGCCTACTGTATGAGAGGTGAGAGTCACAACTATTTGCACACCTGCTTTTAGCTCTGTCCCACCCTGCCAACTGCTGGCACGCAACGTTGACCACTAGGGAATGCGTCCCTCCAGATAGGGAATGCGTCCCTCCAGATAAAAAAAAAGGTTCCTCACTCCTGGCTTCTGAGATAAACAAATCTGATTGGAGCCATCAGTCTTCAGACTCCAGGAACTTATCTGGGCGGCTGTCAGGCAGGACGGAGCAGCTTGATCTAAGATACAGAGCATCATGTATTTTAAGTGCTTTGAATCCAATATCGGATTGTCTGCATTGCTCAACCTAAGGCAGGTGTGATGAACCTCCCCAACCATGTTGCTGAACCACAACTCCCATCATCCCTGCCCACTGGCTACACTTGCTAAGGCTGATGGGAGCTGTAGCTCAGCAACACTGGAAGGGGCACAAAGGTTCCCCAGTCCCAGGGGTGCCAAAATATTGTGGGGTCCCAGGTAAGCCCTGCCCCACATAATCGAACACATGATGCAGTGCACACACGCCATTTGAATGCCCGTCAACTTTGTGGGAGCCCAGCCCCCTCAAATATTTTATTGTGGGGGCTGAAGCCCCCACAGTCCCTAAGAGTTGGCTCCTATGCCCAGCCCTAAGGAAAGATTGTTGTTGTTTAGTCGTGTCTGACTCTTCGTGACCCCATGGACCAGAGCACACCAGGCACTCCTGTCTTCCACTGCCTCCCGCAGTTTGGTCAAACTCATGCTGGTAGCTTCGAGAACACTGTTCAACCACCTCGTCCTCTGCCGTCCCCTTCTCCTTGTGCCCTCCATCTTTCCCAACATCAGGGTCTTTTCCAGAGAGTCTTCTCATGAGGTGGCCAAAGTATTGGAGCCTCAGCTTCAGGATCTGTCCTTCCAGTGAGCACTCAGGGCTGATTTCCTTCAGAATGGAGAGGTTTGATCTTCTTGCAGTCCATGGGACTCTCAAGAGTCTCCTCCAGCACCATAATTCAAAAGTATCAATTCTTCAGCGATCAGCCTTCTTTATGGTCCAGCTCTCACTTCCATACATCACTACTGGGAAAACCATAGCTTTAACTATATGGACCTTTGTTGGCAAGGTGATGTCTCTGCTTTTTAAGATGCTGTCTAGGTTAAGGAAAGATAAGCAAGTAAATTGAGAAGTTGTGCCCAAAATGGCCGTCATTTGGCTACCGCAATGCACACCACACAATTTTTTATATGTCCTTTTTCTATCTCTGTGTTGTATGTTGCAGGTATATTTTTCATACTTGTTAGGTTAAGAATGTGTGGGACACCACTGCATCCCAAGATGGACTGCTTCTCACGGGCTGGAAATGCGGGGGGGGGGGGAATATCCCACCCCATTCCAGACACACACCCATCACATATTGCTTGTCACTGATGAATCTGAGTTGCTGCCACTCACTTCATGCCTTCATATCGCCATATGACAGCGCATCAAGTAGCCTGTCCTAATTTATTAAAGAGGCATCACTCACACTTAATGAACGGGGGTGAGAAGTGAGTGGAAGATTTTATTACGGGCAACGAACAGGGAGGGAAATTCAATTGATACTTTAAACGTGACTTCTATTTTGGGGTCTATTTTCATATTTGAAACCACAGCCCGACCTTTAGAGTTGATCCCTATTAATGTGCGGTTTGCTCAGGGCAAGTTAGAATCAACCACTTTTATTGGCAAAGTTATTTGGGTTAACGTGCACATCTGCAGATCAGGTTGAGACTTTTAGAAAGCAATTCAAGAGTACATCTACCACGGGTTAAGTATTCTGGAGGCAAATTTCCAATCCTTCCTGGGCAGCAGGGATGGGGAACCTATGCCCCCCCCCAATGTTATTGGACCCCAACACCCATCAGCCACGGCCGATGGTCAGTAACGGCGGGAAATGCAATCCAACAACATATTGTTGTGTGTATCCAAGTCTCTAAATGGCGAGAGACTCTGAGGATGCCCACGCTGACCCAGGGTTCAGCTTGCTTGGACTGAAGGTCAGTGGAAACTGTGGTGTCTTTAGGATATATGCTTTTATTTACCCGTACAGTGGTACCTTGGTCCTCGAACTCAATCCGTTCTGGAAGTCCGTTCAACTTCCAAAACGTTCGCAAACCAAGGAACAGGTTCTGATTGGCCCCGGAAACAATGCCAACGGCCAAAACAGATGTTTGGCTTCCGAAAAACGTTCGCAAACCGGAACACTTACTTCCAGGTTTGCGGCGTTCGGGAGCCCATTGTTCGTCAACTAAATTGTTCATGAACCAAGGTACCACTGTATATAGAACCTGAGCAGAGAATGGAGGGGTGCAAAGCATTTGCACCCAAACAGATCCGGCTCCCCCATTAGGTTTTCAAAGAAGCCTGAAGTCACAGCTTTTGGTCTACCCCAGAGCAGACATGCCTGTGTCTCTCCAGCTTCCAGCACCAGCCAAACTCAGTGCACAACATTCTGGCTATTGTTCTTCTACCTTAGGAGGTGATGTCCCTTCCAACCAGGTGAAGAGGGTTACCCCCATTTGTCTCTATGGCAACAGGGCAGCCTCTCTGTAATGTAAATGGCAGGACTTAACTGGCCGGCTAGCAAAAGGAACTGGTCTAGCTGGTTTCCTCTTATAGATCCAATTCTCATACACACAGGATCACAGGTTTGGAAGGGACCAGTGTTCGAAATTTGCAAGGCGCATTTTGCATGTGGGAATTGGCCACCTGTGACCAGGTGAAGATTCCCCAGGCGCCAGGATGGTGCCCGACATCTCCACCATCTGGAGGAGCATGCCTGGGGATCCGTGGATCTTGCCTGTTTTCACACACTAACAACACATACTGTAGAATTTATCTGTGATATTTTACAGTGGTATCTCGGGTTACATACGCTTCAGGTTACATACGCTTCAGGTTACAGACTCTAACCCAGAAATATTACCTTGGGTTAAGAACTTTGCCTCAGGATAAGAACAGAAATTGTGCAGCGGCGACGCAGCGGCAGCAAGAGGCCCCATTAGCTAAAGTGGTGCTTCAGGTTAAGAACAGTTTCAGGTTAAGAACAGACCTCCAGAACAAATTAAGTTCTTAACCTGAGGTACCACTGTATCTGAACCGTCAGAATGGATTCAGGAACCAAAAAGCTGTATTGAAAAATATGACTTTTGAGCCGCCTGGCCCTGAAATGGCAACAAGACATTCCATTTTGGCGACTGTAGCCCTAGTTCAAGGAGCCATTTGGCTCCCAGCTTATATATCTGAGTTTCTAACACTGGACAGGGACCCATGGATATCACCTAGTCTGACATGCCCCCAGACAGTGTAAGAGCGACTGTTTCTCCATCCCTACAGGGATGGCCAAATGGGTTTCCTTCAACAGATGCTGCTCAGAGGAGTATTTGAATTGCAATCCCCCACTCCTGATAACCTTGTTCTTACCTGGCAGGTGCCTCTCCATGTGGGAAACGAGAGACACTGACTATGTTGGCTCCGACTCACGCAACCAACTCCATCACAAATTGAGCTTCCTACCTTCCTAGCAGCAACCTTGCCATTCCAGCAGACGGTCTCAGCAGGAGAGATAGGAAATAGGGCTCATTCCATCAAGACCAGCTTCATTCGTCACCTCCTACCCCTGAACTCTACCAGAGGCCATTATAAGATCTGTTTTTAAGGACTGGCAATTTTCCCCCACTTCCTTCCCCTTCCCTTTCCCCTTATGAGTCATGTTTTCTTTTTAAGATTGCAAGCCCTCAGGGCAAGGGACTCTCGTGTTTTAATTTATTGTACGTAAGCCACCCCAGAAGCCCTTTTTCGGCTGAGGAGTGGGGTACGAACGCTACAAATAATTAATTAATTAACCACCACTTGATCAGCGATGGCCCTAACTGCAAGATGAATCCCACTTGGCAACACACCCAAGTGGGTAGAGGAAACTCACCCTTGGGTAGTTGATTCCCACGGCAAATAGAAGGCTCTAGGCTAGGGCAACTCTTGGGAAATCAGAGGTTCACCATTAAGGCACTGCTACACCTGTCCTTCAGACACACCTCCTGCTAACCCCCCACCTGAAATTGGCCTATTTGGAGACACTGTAGCTTCTCCTCTCCTTCCCTTAGGATAGGTCAGCAGTCAGCAAACTTTTTCAGCAGGGGGCCGGTCCACTGTCCCTCAGACCTTGTGGGAAGCCGGACTATATTTTGAAAAAATAAAATAAAATCACCGAATTCCTATGCCCCACAAATAACTCAGAGATGCATTTTAAATAAGAGCACACATTCTACTAATGTAAAAACACCAGGCAGGCCCCACAAATAACCCAGAGATGCGTTTTAAATAAAAGGACACATTCTACTCATGTAAAAACATGCTGATTCCTGGACCGTCCATGGGCCGGATTTAGAAGGCAATTGGACCAGATCTGGCCCCCAGGCCTTAGTTTGCCTACCCATGGGATAAGATAGGTGTTCTCCCTTAGGGAGGTGCTCAGAAAATTATGGGCTGGGTCCCCACTTAGCAGCTTATCGTGCAGCCCTGGAAGAGACACCTCTCCGTTCCTCAGAGTGATATGTGTCTGTCCAGTGTCAAGAAACACAACCCCAATAACTGAGCGAGTTTGACACAAGACACACCTGTTTGGAAAGAGCTTTTCACAATTGCAAGCAGGGTCATGGATGGTGAAGCTTTAGCAATTTCAAGGAGATGGCCCCTGAGAAGGAAGGTTTCAACACAGCAGCAATGTCTCAAGCCAAACATACTACATTTCTCTCTGTCTGTATCTAAGAGCCCCTTCCCCAATTCTCGTGCGTTCACACGCCTCTGGTCTTCCTGCCTTGTACGTTGGCCTGGTTAAAGGGCTTCTTCCTCCATGCCAGAGGTATTTGATCTAACTTGGGGCAAATGGCAAAGTTCAAAAGTCATCTAATGGAGACAAAGCAGCTACATCCTAAAATCCAGAAAGGAGATTCTGCACCCTTCCATTCACTGAACCACAACCGCTTTCAAAAGCTGGAAGTATCCGTCTGTCCATCCATTCCTCTCTCGCTGGAACGCTTTCACTCCATTCTTTGCACCCTTTGTCCCTTGCTGAACGTGGGACTTTGATCACAATTGCAGGGGTTTGAGCAGCTGTGAAGGAAGCGTGGAAAGGGAGATCAGCCCAGCACATGGCATTGAAACGGTCACCTGTCCAGTTTGACGAGGAGGAAGTCATAACGTAGACAGAGAACCCTGCTGGCCAGAAGCTCAAGCGGTCATGTGAATCAGAGGCAAGGCAACTTTGACTTCTCAATTCCTCCATAAGCAGCCAAAAACCACTCGGCAGCAGTTTGAGGAGCATCGTAAGGAGGCTCAGTGGTACAGCATCTGCTTTGCATGCAGAGGGTTTCGGGTTTAATCCACAACATTTCCAGGGGAAAGACCTAGGTCTGAAATCCTAGACTGCTGCTGCCAGTCAGTGTATACAATACTGAGCTCAAAAGGCCAATGGTCTTGCTCTGTACATGGCGGTTTGTTTCCTACATTCCGACACAGCCTACCCTTCCCTGCACAGCTTATCAAACACATGTGTTTGAGTGAGAGAAACAGACGAAGAGAAAAAAAGGGAGCTGCCTGCCTAGATAGTAATATTAGGGTCAAACTGTGTGTGAATTCGGTGCACCGGAACTGCTGGGTCTTTATGTTTTGAAAAGCCAACATAGGGTGGGAGAACCAATCTTGCTCTGGTCAACAGACAGAATGGGGGCTCTAAGCCCTTTTAGTTGTAGAGCAGGGGCAATCCACACTAGCTACCCACCCATCCTCAGTATGCTTCTTCAAAAAAAAAGTTAAACCACAGAATTCCCAAGTCACATATCGTTTGATTCCAAATAGCAGATTTGATATTCAAAATCTGGTGGCTATGAACAATCCTAATTTAATTTTGTGAAAGGAGGAGGACATACACACAGAGTTCCTCCCCCTTTCACAGCTGAAAGCTGAAAATCACATTCCCGTGCCTGCCAACACTCAGAAGTATCTTGAGTTTTACACGGTCACAAAAAATCGCCTGGAGTTACTAGCAATCACGTGTGAATGCCTTATATGCCCAATATCCAGACTTCCACCATACGGTTCACAATGAACCCATCACCGCAGTACAGTATCGGGGATTTGATTTGATCTGCCTGCCTGAGCAAAGCTTCTGGGCACTTTCCAAATAAATCCGAGAGCTTTTCCTTTTTAGAAAAAGCAAAACAAATCTCATTTAATAAGGACCTTGTTTGAAGAACTGCTACTATTGCTATTATTATTATTTTACCTAGTGCCGTTCTTGGAAGCCCTGGGACACAGGAGGGGATGGTTCCCTGAAGAAGCCTGATCCGATCTGGTCCGCCGATCCGCCGGCTTGGAGCGCGAGAGCGAGATTCGTGGGAGAACAGCAACCTCCCGGAGCCAATGAGCGCCCGGCAAGTTCCGCGCGTGGATTCCGAGCGAGCTCCGCCGCTCACACTCCGGGAACCGGATCCTGGCCGCTTCGCCGCCGCCGCCCGCCTCTCCCGGCAGCCCCGCCAAACATCACGGCAACTCCACAGGCGGACTCCTGCCAGAGGGCGCCGCCGTGGCCATCGCCGTGGCTCGGAGACCCAAGTTGTCCCTCCTCCGCCTGCTGCTGCTCCTCCGAGCTCCAGCTCCCTGGGTCCCGCGCCCGCCCGCCCGGCAGCTTTAGCGCAGCCCGATCCCCGGAGCGCGCTGCGCCGCTGGGCTCGCCCTGCCTCTCCGCCGCGCTCCTTCCCCCGACAGCAGCTTCCTCGTCGGCATAAGGGACGAGCAGCCCTCGGCCCGGAGCCCTGCAGGCCCCGAGCCCCGCAACGGCATCCCCCGCGATGCAACCCCGGGCAGCCTCTCTCTCTCTCTCTGCGAAGGTCAAAAAGCGGATCCCTCAGACCGGAGGCAGCTCGAGGTTTCCAAGTCCAGGAAGAGGAGAGCGATTCTGCCACCCAGTTGCCTGGAGGGTGCGATTCAGGGTGTGTGTGTGTGTGCGTAAAATGCAAGCACCCCCGACCCACCCCTCTCCTAGGGAAGCGGGACTTTGCTCGGCTTGTGCAGGCTGGGGCTGCCGGTCGGCTTTCGCCTTCTCTCCGCCTCGGTGGATCGCGAATGCTTTTCTTTAAAACAGAAAGGGGAGGTGGAAAAAAAAAGTCCCGGGCAAAAGCTGGGAGAGCCGCGCGGTCGCTGCTGCCGCTGCTGCAGTCTGGCAAGCGCCAACTGTGCTCAGCTCAGGCTGCGAGCGCGGCTGGGATTAAGCGAGCCTCTGTATCGATTTGGAGGCGAGCGAGAGCAGGCAGTGAATTAAAGTGAGTTAGTCAGGCGGCAGGTTGGCTGAATGGCCACTCCCGCCTGGGGGAGGGAGAGGAGGAGAAAGAGCGGGGGAGTGATTAATCCGTGCTAATCGAGGGCTTGCCTCGCTGTGAGGCCGTTCTGGAAAGTGGGGGGAGACTAACGGGCCACCCCCGCGGAGGTGGGGTGCTGCCGCGTGCGCTGGTTTTTGCAGATCGCGCTTGCAAAAGCAAGTCAGAGCACAAGGCAGCGCAGGGCGGCCATGGATGGTGCGCCCGTGCATGCCCTCCGATGCTCCCCTATCCATTAGCGGTCTTTTCTCGCGCAGAGACGGAGCCTTGCACTCCCAGCCTCATTCACACAAACGTACACAGCGCGCTTAATCTCCCCCGATTCTGCACCGAGCAAATTGGAATTCTTCCCCGGCTGAATTCTGAAAGCAGTGTAAATTAGGCGAATTAAAGGGATGCGTTTCTCACAATTCTGGACCTGCTAATCGCTAGGAGGAGCACAAAGGAACCCCAAACGCACTATGCAGACTCCCTGTGTTACTGGCTTGTGACATTTCACCGGCTGCTTGCTGAACGCTTTGCAGCCAGAAAACTCGCTTCGTATGCAAACAACAAAGCCGCAAAAGGTGCCCCAACTCCCGTTTCCCTTGACTGGACCCTGCTGTTGCGGAATGCACCGAGCCCTGGGTGCAAAAGTACACTTAGCCCCTGGTGCAGGGAAGGGACATTAACTGGCAGAGCATGCAAAAGGTCGCAGGTTTAATTCCCCGCATCTCCAGGCGGGGCTGGGAAAGACTAATTATCTAAAACCCGGGAGAACTGCTGCCAGTCTGTGTAGACAATACTGAGCTAGATAGAGCAGTGGTTGACTTGGTATAAAACAGCACGAGCACGCACAAGCATAGAATGGCTATTAACAGGATGTGAGCACTGCCAGATCGTGTTGCAGACCAACTAGAAGGCACCAGTGGTCCAAATATATAATTCTGTTCCAGAGTGAAACTATTACATGGGTTCCTTTAATTTTCTTAAACTCCCTATCCAGCTTTTTTCTTTCATCTCAAAAATTAAATGCAAAAACAAACAAGAAAATCAAAGGAATGCCAACAATGTAATACAAAGCTAAATAAAACAGTGCCGTTTCAGTATCAAAACTCCCCCGTTACAGAAAACTGAAATGACATAAGCGATATATTCGGGTTGCAAAAATAAGGTAGCAAAGTTAAAACATTAGGTCTCTGATACACAAACATTATTTTGTAATTAAGAAACTGTTTCTGTGGGTCTTTTGGAAAATTCTGCAAAATGGCTTCTGGCAAGTTGGAATTCATTTTTTATTTCCTGGAAGATACTGTGAGTGACATAAGTTTTTCCTTTGATCCCTCAGATTTGCACAAAACCAGAAAACTGCATTAGCAAACCACATAAAAAACTTCTACACCAGATATTGAGCAACAATCTGAAAAATGTGTGCATGGAGAATTTACAATCATTTTCATTTCCTTTCTCCAGCACACTTTTGAACCAGAGATATGCAGCCTTTTTTTTTATTGTGGTCCCTCAGATTTGCACAAAACAAGAAAACTGCTGAGAATTTACAATTGCCTGGCCATGTGCTTTTGCACACTTCCTGGGCAGAAAAAAACGCAAAGTGCTGGTGCAGGTACTTGTGCACATTCCCTGACAGCACTTCCTTGATAGAAGCGACAATTCTGAAGACAGGGACAAACCACCAGTATGAACAGGAAAGATCAAAGGTACTCCTCATATACAAATTCACATACATGCAGATATGAGCTATTAATTTGAATGGGGGAACAGCAGATTAACAGCTAAATAATGCTCAAATGTGGAGAAAGTATTAGACTCTTAAGATACTTGGAGCACTTCCTTCTCCCTCTTTCCTATTCTTCCTTCTTCATGTACAGTACTCTGAAGTGCCATGTAGAGTGAGCACATTTGCATAAATAAAATAGACGGATCTAGTACAACTAATGGCTGCTTCAGTTTCCCAAATTCTTAGTGGTAAGCAAGTTCTTGTACATGCAACTATAGACATGTAAATGCCAGGCTCACAGGATATGGTAATGATGTAAAGTCAACACAAGTTGCTAGTTATTTTGATGCATTGACCAGCCTAGTAAAAGCTTTACCAAACAGACAACTCCCTGTGTCCTTACTAGGTTAACAGTTCCAGAGTTCCCCAGGACATCAATCTCAAGTCTTCTTGGATCTTACAGAAGCAGAAGCTGCAGGCATACACAACTTCGAGGCTTGCAGGATCTACAGTTGTTGATTTTTACTAGAACCTGATGTCCTGCTGGAGCTAGATGCAAAATGGTGGTTTGGGGGGGGGGTGTGAAACCAATTCTATGCCATACATTGGAGAATGAACAGCATGTTTAAGTACATACAGTATTTACATCTGGGTTACTATGAACCAGGAATTCAAAGCGGCCCAATTTGGAGAAAAAGGAAGTTGTTTTGTTTTTGCCATTGTTAAATATGCAGGAGTCAAAAACCCTTGCAAATAATCTAGAAATGTGCCTTCTGCTTGCCCCTGGTTTACATAGTATTGTACAGGGCTGTGTGTATCTGTGATCACACTGCAGAAGCAAAGAAATTGGTATTATGCAGACTCATAGCATTCTGAGAGACTGATCTGCTATTGTTTACATAATTAATACAGGTTGCAGAATCCCAAAGAAGTCAGTCCAAAACTCACCCTGTGGCAGCAAAGAGCTGACCCCAACATTTCTTTTTTGTACAGGCTTAAGCCTCCAGTGAGAGGTCAGTGCTAAACAAGATAAGCAGTGGATTTTCTCTTTTGGCAGCAGGATGCCCAGTTTCAGGTTTGAGAGGGCTTCTTTGGGGCCCAGCCTGGTACCAGGCAGGAGGTTTGATAGGGTTTTCCTTGAAGGCAATCAAGCAACAGGCAGGGCCTTTGAAAGGATTTCCCCTGGGCACGGATAATCCAGCAGTGAGTGACAGGTTTGTGAAAGGATTAAGCGTGGGCACATTCAGTCACCAAGAGTTAGGTCTCAAGGGATTCCCTTTGTGAACAGCCAGTGTGGCATCAACAGCAGGCGGAGAAGGCAATCAGAAACGGAAACAGCAGTTCGGAGAGATTTTTTTTCTTCCACAGAAACAATCTGGCACCGACAATCGGATGCGGGAAAGAACACAGAGAGAATGTGGCACTATCCGAGGATTATTCTTAGCTGTAGAGAGAGAATTTACTTCTGGTTAAGCACTGAGGGCTGATTTGAGGTTTCTGTCAGGCGTAAGCTGGCCAGTGTGAAAAGCAGCTTTGGGCAGTTTCCTTCAGGGATATGTGACTGTGCTTCCCTGCATCCTGACTCACACCTAGTGGTGCCTGAGTTTCTTCACTCCAGTGCACTCGCCTGTATCATGACTTCAGGCGAGCTCTCAGCTCTTACTGTGGTTCCAGATGATAATTAAGCCTCCAAACCTTAACTATGTTCCCATTAGTGGTATAAAATTGAGTTGCTGAAACTACTGCAGACACATAGATGCTGCCGACATCAGACAGATTGGGCAGGTGGGATAAGTCAACTAACCGTGCTCTCTTGAACAACACCGCAATTGCTCCTTTGTGTTTCACTAAAATGTCTAGGTGGTTGTTCACAAAACCTCATCTGTTGGCTGAGCGCTGATTGCTCAGTTATTTGTTAGTGGCAATGTGACATGTCCCTTGACCTTCAAGGCAGCCATGAATGTTGGCATGCATGTTGTAGATAGGGGTTTTCATTTAAAGTTTTAATATGAGCACAGCCTGCTCACTTGTTGTCACTCGGCTCACTGACTTGTGTACCCCCTGTGAAACTTAATATTTCCCTAGAAAAATAAGATAGAACAACGAAACATGGTTTGCACATTCAGAACTTCGCTTGATTATGCTTTTTCAGGTTCAGAAACTGGCTGGATCCGTCTAGTTTTCAAAAGAGGTACTTGGCATTACTAATGGATTATGGTCCCACAATCACTTGTACAGATTGGAATTGCCGCTGCACTTGAAGGCACTCCATAAAATCATACTCTTAAAACCAGTTAGTGCAGATTAGTTAACTATTTTAGCTTTATCTTGGCATAGAAAGGATGAGAATATGGACAGAACTCGATGTCACCTCAGTAAATGCCTGCTCCCAAACCTGCATTTGTGGAGATGGCATGAATGCCAGGGCAGAAGGCCTTGACAGGAGAGAATCAGTGGAAGGGATATAGTTACATCATGTGTGAGGTGGTCACCTCAGTGACAGGTACTGGAAGGCAGAGAGCGGTGGGAAAATGCCAGAGAGCAGAGTTGTGTGTGCTATAAAGTTTGTCTTGCGTCTCCTATCCAGCTAGCCTTCATCTTTGACAGCTGCTTGTGTTGCAGTAAATCTGTGCTTGTCTCATAACATGCAGTTCCACCCTAGTATCAAGGAGAAGAATGTCCTTTGTAGTTTTGTGGGAAATAAAAATGGTGGGTTGGTCCTAAGCCCACTCAGCTACCCAGCATGGCAGGGTAGGACAGGCATCAGTATACCTGTGGCCCTTGCTTGGGTGCTAGGGAGCCAGCTGCTGCCCAGGCAGGACCAGCCTAAGATGAGACAAGGTGAGGTGACCAACCGCCTCAGGCAGCAGGATCCACAGGGGCAGCAGAAGCAGTCTTCCAGGAATGCATCGTCTGCTTCTTCCACCAGTGGCACAGCAGCAGCAAAAGCTGTGACATACTCCTCAGAGGCTGGATTCAAAGCTGTCAATGTTTCCCTTTTTTAAAGGGAAATTCCCTTATTCCGAATAGGATTCATCGCAAGAAAAGGGAAAAGTTGACACACACCCACACACCCCCGTTCCCAATGTAGACCTGTTATCCTTCCTTGTTCCTGAAGTAAATCTTCACTCGCCCCCTTCTTCCCTGATTTGGGGGGGGGAGAACCATTTTGTGGTTTGCCTCAGGTGCCAAAATGTATTGGGCCTGCCCTTTCCCAGGGGAACTATTTGCTTATTATGCTTAAGCCTGGGCCTACAAAGTCAAATGGGTTGCCATGGGCAACACCAGGTTCTGCAATGGAGAAGGCTCCAGCCAAGGCTAGCCAAAGCCATTGGGCAGATCATTCCGATACTTTCCCGCCTCCCTATGATTAAAGAGCAACAACGTCATAATATATGAAGTAACCTTTAAAGGCACCTGAAAACAGCAAGCTGAGGCAGCCGCTATCACTCCAGCTCGGACTTAACCCAACCCGGAGTTCTAGATGTTTGTTGGACTACAGTTCCCATCATCCCTGACCGTGGACCATGCTGGCTATGGCTAGTGGGAGTTGTATAATGGAGGGGGAATCAGGTTGGGGGTTGTTGCTGTAGCTAATGGTGAGGCTGAGCCTGATCTCACCAGCAGGAGAGCTTCTCTCTGCCATGTTCTTATCCAATATAATTGTGGGTGTCAGATATAAATATAGAGAGCTTCAACCAAAGCAGCCACTGGGTGTCACTGAGTCTCTACAGAGAAGCTGCTGATCCGACATTTCTCTGGATGAGCAGGGGGTGTGTTTTTTGTGCAGACAGCAGATGTTACAGGCCACAGGATTCACTCCCAGCTTCCCGGTTGCTCTGCATCTGTTGAGTACCCCTTACGGAATAATCTGCAGCATTTCCATGGCTTCTTGCCTTCCCTGTGGGCCTTTAGTCCACTGACTTGATGCCGTTGGCGTGCTTCTGCCAGATGGGGCAAAAAAAGAAAGGGGCTGTGGGGCAGATTTTAAAAGCAAAACAAAAAGTACTAAGTAGACTGTAGACCATACCCTAGTGGTAGACCATACCCTAGTGGTAACATTGCATGTATTCTGTTTCAGGAATGTCAGGAGTGTCTCTGTGAATGTCTGTTTCTGCTTCACTTGCTAGAAGGAAAATATGGCTTAGAGCAGGGGTGAGGAACCTTTTCCAGAGCAAAGGCTGCATTCTCGTCTGGGCAACTAGAAGGGGCCACCTGCCAGTAGTCTGCAGGGTCAGGAACAACAACCACACATTTTTTCTTTGTTCATTAGGCTAGTTTCTGCACACATGTACCCCTCTCTGTGAACCAAGAAGCATTTTCGGACTTCGACATGTTCCAGCCAGGCAAAAACTCCAGGAAGGTATGAAGCAGAGCTAGTGAGGTGGGTTGTTTTTATTTGCTTTATTTATTTAGAGCATTTGTACCCTGCTGTTCAGTTAAAACATGACAGTCCTTGCCCATAGGCTTATAATCTAAAAAAAAAACATGAGGAAAAGGACAAGGAGGGAAGAGGGGGAATGCAAACTCAAGCACCAATTATCAGTTTGTATAATGATCAGCTGGAGTAGAAACCAGGATGTGTCCTGGAAAGGGGCAGTGAAGGATGTCAACAGGACTCTAAATATGAAACAATGCGGTTATGCGAGGAAATGATGATGATCACATGCTTGGAACCGGAGCGGGAAACCTGTTTTTAAGACATTGCATTAAATTTACTTAATCTGGTTTGCTTTGTAATAATTTGGAAAATTAATAAAAATAATTTGGAAAGGGGCAGTGTTGTGAGGAGGGTCCCAGTGGTCAGATAGGGAGCCTTGGAGGGCTGCATTTGTCTTTCTGGCTTGAGGTTTCCCACCTCTGAATTACAGGATGATAAAGATCTGCAATAAATTCAGCCAGTTCTTTCTTTTTTTACAGGTCTTGCTGAAATGTTGGAGCTTCTCTCCACAGGTGCTTTCGGTTGTATTGAGGGAGGTGTGAAATCCACATACAAAAGCCACATGCTTTTTATTCCTATGTCTGAGATGTCTAGTTGCCCAAGGAGCAAAGGAGAGCAGGACTCCTGCTACATACCTGTAATAGCTGCAGAGGAGAGAGTATCTTGGCAAATGCAGTTTTGCTTGTTCTCTCTTCCACAGGGAGCTTCTTCCACAAGGAGCAGCTAAAAATGGCTGCCAAGAGTAAAAACGTTGGCCTCTCTGATATATGACACCTGCTCACCCTAGAACAGTGGTTCTCAACATTTTCTTTTTCTTTTTGCCATGCCCCACCTAAGCATCTCTAAAATCCTGATGCCCCCCCGACATATAATTCTTATTATTCAAAAAGTGAACTCCTATTCACGTGCAGGAAGCCTAAAATGCCATTCACTGTTAATAATTCATTCTTGAATTGCCCCTCTTAAAAATCAAATTGCCTCCCTGTAGGGCGTGTGCCCCACGCTGGAAACCACGGCCCTAGAATCTACAGCTGAATATGGATTTGGACCTGAGTTTAGGGGCAAGACACCATCTACCAGTTGAATCATATATACTTAGTGCTGAAACTGTGCACTCAAGGCAGTTAACCATTTAAAATGTGAAAAAAGAAGGAAAGGGGGGGAGTATCAATAGACAAAAGAATACAGAGCAAAAGATAAAAACAGCATAATTACTGTCTTGGCCTGAATATAAGCCTCACTTTCCCCCCCTAAATTCCGACTGAAAAGTTAAAGTGCGTCTTAAATTTGTGACCTTACAAAAATGGGCTTTTACGGTATTGCTGCTGAAACAGACATATGGTAAAACAGAACGGGTGTGAGTGCCTGCGGAATTTTAAGGGAGCGGCTTATATTTGGGTATTGCCTTTTTTACTTTTTTCCTCTTGAATTTTAAAGGTGCGGCTTATATTCGGACCGATACGGAATTTGGGGTGAGTGTGTGGTGACTTCAGAGGTTGATGGCATGACCTTCCATGATTCCTCCTCTCTTGCCTTCCCCTTAGATGAGGGAGTATATTAAGCTGGAAGTTGGGGGGTGAACTCCCCCAGCTGAATTACCATGGGCCCCTAGAGTAGGGATCTCTTCAGGATCCATAGTATGAGCTCCCTAGCCTGGCCTTCTCTTCAGGGCACAGTTGATTTTCTCTCTTGGGCCTTGTGGTTTGGAATCTCCACTTTAGCCAGAGAACAACATAGATCAGCCTTCCCAAATGTGGACTCCAACTCCCTTCATCTCTAGACAATGTGATGGGAGATGTGGTCTAACAATACCTGGAGACTGCACCAAGTTGGGGAAAGCTGCCACAAAGAAATCCATGGGGAGAGGAGGAGGAAATCCCCTGCAGTTGTTTGCTTGAAAAATCATATTTGGACGCTCTAGAGAAGGAAAGAATTTCTGTGTAATTCTCAAAATATCTGTGTGATGAGTAATGTAGTCCCAAGGACTTTTGTTTCCCTTAGGTTTTTGGCATAAGGCAATGTAATTTTAGCCACTACTTAAACTTTCTCCAATCTTAAAACCACGGTTAGGGCATCCACATGGTTAAGCTTGCATGGTCCCCTTTCCTCTCATTCCATGTCTTGTACCATTGTCACAATGTGCATTTAATTCCATTGTTTTCAATAAACCATGGAGGGCCAAGTAATTGGTGGAGCTGCTTTGAGGGCCTTTTATTTTTGAAAAGCCTTCTGCTTATTTTGAAGCATCACAGCTCCAGAGAATGCAACAGACACTCCATTTTGCATCCAGCCTCACAAATGGATGCCTCTTTTCACTCTCGCTGTGGGTACCTCAGATCCTGAAAGCCGCCTTCGCAGATAAGAGGAATCAGGCAAGATGCTTCTACGCTTGTGTCTCTGATGAGGAGTAGAATTATCTGCTTATTAGTCACAGAGCCCATCAGGCATTCCCTGCTGGAGGTGCTGAGACAAATAGAAAACACAAAGTTAAGATGTTTCTGGCACTGAGGTTAGAAGCGCTGGGAGTCTCATGCCTGTGCATGTTTTTGAGTGGCACATAGAACGGGAACTCCTTGTGGACTGGCATGCCTCAGCGTTCGCAAACACAATCTTTCTGTTCAGAGATCTGTTCAGGACAAATATGCCGGCTCATCATAAATCATTTCAGACGACTGACAAGGCACGCTAGAGAGGGCTGAGAGTATAAAAAGTGCGAGTGCTGCTTTCGGGAGAAAACTCCGCTCTCCATGTTCTACAAGCGTGAGCACAGAATGTGCATCATGTTGATAAAACCCCACTGGAAAATCTCTCAGTGGACTAGGGGGACTAGGCTAGTTCCCTAAATGTTCCCGGTAAATTAAAGCACTGTATTATGAAAACCTAGCACCTCCTTTCTAAAGCCCGGGAAGCTTCTGCTTGGCTTAGGGAGGGAGGTGCGATGCTTTGATGGGGTCCAAGAGCCCTCCCAGCACCTTGCTGTCAGAGGCCTGGTGTCTCCTTCCCAAAGCCCAGGAAGCTTCTGTCCAGCTGAGAGGGGGAAATGCCATGCTCACGCATGCAACGTGGGGATGTCACAACATCACGTGTGCAGTGTCGCACCCCACAGTTGCCCTCACAAACCAGCACCTCTGGCGCTAACTGTTCCCCTATGAAAAATTTCACCACACGCCACTGAAATCTCTAAAGTATTGCCTGCACTGAAGTAGACCTGAATTGATATACAGTGGTACCTCGGGTTACATACGCTTCAGGTTACAGACTCTGCTAACCCAGAAATATTACCTCGGGTTAAGAACTTTGCTTCAGGATGAGAACAGAAATCGTGCAGGGGTGCAGCGGCAGCAGGAGGCCCCATTAGCTAAAGTGGTGCTTCAAGTTAAGAACAGTTTCAGGTTAAGAACGGACCTCTGGAACGAATTAAGTACTTAACCCGAGGTACCACTGTATCCGGAAATTTCAGGTCCAGTTGTTACTGATGGTGCCTTTTCAGAGTACAGTTGTACCTTGGTTTTCGAACGCCTTGTAACTCAAACGTTTTGGCTCCTGAATGCCACAAACCTGGAAGTGAGCGCTCCATTTTGCGAATGTTCTTTGGAAACCGAAAGTCTGCCACGGCTTACGCAGCTTCTTATTGGGTACAGGAAGCTCCTGCAGCCAATCGGAAGCTTCACCTTGGTTTTTGAACGTTTGACTTCCGGAATGGATTCCCTTCGAGAACCAAGGTATGACTATACTTTGGCTTCCAGAGTTACGGCTGGTGGCAATACAGAACAGGACTTTCCCCCCTGGCACACGATGTCTCTCTGTGTGGAATTCCTCTTGAGAGAGAGGACCCTTCAGACAGCATGCATGATTGCTCATGATAGTATTGGGGCAGTATATATATACAACCCCTCCTTCACTGCTGTTTGCACCTGCTATAATTTCATGGTGGACATCCCGCTGGCTGCCACCGGTGCATACCCCGTAACTTCCTGCTAAAATCCTGTAACCTTTAATACCACAAATGTTCGAGGTTGTGGGGGGGGTGTGTGTGTGCTCCTTTTGTTGTGCTAATAAAACAGAATGATGTGTGGATGGTCCAGTATAAATGCATCACTAATGCATTGTTATTGTGTTGATATTCTTCCCACAAAAAAACCCCACCCACCAATCTGGAAAGGCCCAGAGAGGGGGAGAGAGAGAAGCCCATGTGACCTGCTCTTTTCCGTCCTTCACAAAGGCAGTTAAACCTTTTTTAAAAATCAGAAGGGATAAAAAAACAACAACCCAGAAGGGATAAACTTTTTGGGGAAAATCCATCAAGCGCTCTCGCGCTCTCTCTCTCTCTCTCTTTCTTTCAGTATTTTTTTTAAATATTACAGTACTCTTTATTTCACATTTTTCCCCATAGAAAGAGTACAAGCAACACAACACATGTGAACAATACAGAACCAAAACCAAGACAACTGCCCTGCATGTACAGCAAAGAAAGGTTACAACAAATATATTCAGAGGGCATAGACACAGATTTTAGGGAAGGCTTCTCAACATACTTTGGTTGCTGCTTTTAGAACAACAAATGTCTAGGTAAGGAGGTCCAGCGAGAATGATCTAAAAGGACTTGGAGTTTGAATTGTCCCTTTCTGATCTGTCACATACCATAAGAAAGGTTGACACATGTTCTCAGATATGTGGTTTTACCACATAAAGAACAACACTATTGAGTTAGTTTTTTCAGCTAAGGTGACATTGTACTCCCTCTGCCAGCCTCGTAAATGGTGTGGCATATTTCCTATGTTGAGCTATCTCTACTCTCGCAGCTGCAGGGAAAAGGAAACGGATTAAGTCCTTTTGCAAGAGTCCAAGCATAGTCTCTTGAAATGGGAGCCAAAACCTGGGCCTGGGTAGACAATTTGATTGAGAATAGCTGTGATTTCTTGAAAGATCCTGAGCCAAAAAGATTGCACTACTTCCAACATCATATGAAATAGTGTACCAATTTGGCCTGAGTCCTTCCAGCATATTGTGAATAAATTTAGCATTTATGTGCCCCAATTTAACTGGGGTGGCATACCACCTGTAATTATTATAACAAATTTAACAAAAAATAAAGGCGGGGGGTTAATACCCATCAGCTCACATCAACAATACAATAACCATCTCTGTTTAAACACATCAGTCAATATATGCCATCCAAAGGTCTTGATAGGTATCTAGACCAAAATCCATCAAACTTAACAATAAATCAACAATACTGCTTCCCCTCCACACACACAAAATAACCGCAGAAACACAGCAATTAGCATGACAATCGTATTCCCTCAAATGCCTGGGAGAAGAGGCATGTCTTAATCTGGCTCTGAAAGGATGTTGGTTGGCTCAGTCGGTAGAGCATAAGGCTCTTAATCTACAAGTCTGCGATTCTGTGATTTTAATGCTGACGCCAGGCAGGCCTCTCGGGGGAATGCATTCTATATAGACTATAAATATTTATAAGCCCCTTTTTAGGGTAAACCTTCTCAAGGAGACTACAGCAACACAACATATAAAGAATAACAAAACTGAAGGAGCATGAAAAAAAATCACAATAGCTAATTAATAGCAGTTACAGCAACAACGTAAAAACATCACTCAGCCCAGCGAAACCATAACATCACAAAATCAGTTGAGCTGGAAAAGCATGAAAGAACAGGAGCCCTGCTAAAATCTCTAATCACAAAAGGCAATGAACAAATATGTTCCAAAGGTTCCCCCACTCCTGCAGTAGGAACAGATCTGGCTTCTTCACACCCTTATGAGCAGCCTGCCACTTTCAATCAATGTACTATCAATTGCTAGTAGAAGCAGCTGCAACTGATCCTATGTCTAATCAGGTCTCTCCTCCAAATGCCTGCCCGAAAACGGTGCATCTTAACCACCCATTTGGTTAAAGAGATGGAATCAGATGCACCTATGTAGAGAGAGAGATCCACATGCAAGGAGCCATCACTGAAAAGGCCCTTCCCTGGGCCTCCATGCCATATTCTGGGTGGGGAACAACCCGGCAGATCTCACTGTATGGGCAATCTTTTCCGGCAGGTAATTGTACTTTGAGGAGATAGTGATCTAGCACGGTCATTTCTTCCTGTCTCTGTTCACTTCTCTCTATCTCTTGTTCTGCTCTTTGATAGCGGAAAACAGCCTTTAATTTGTTAGAAGGAAGGGATAGTGCAGGGTACCTTCTGACCTTATTTGATGTTAGACATTGTTTGGAGCAATGTGCAGTATTGGAAGAGGGGGCCAGCTAATTAATAATCTGGACTAGCTATTCGGGCAAGGCACATAGGCTAAAAAGGTAGCCATCTATAAATCGGATGGTTTTTGGGGCATAGTTCAGAGAAGCTTGTGCATAGGCTGACTGACCACAGGGCCGTGCAAACTGGGGCTACCTGGGGTTCACTTCGTCACTTATTGAGGGCTTCCCAGTGGCAGATCGAAGTGCTTGCTTGGTAATTTATATAAAGGTAAAAGGTAAAGGACCCCTGGACGGTTAAGTCCAGTCAAAGGCGACTATGGGGTTGTGGCACTCATCTCGGGAGCTGGCGTTTGTCTGCAGACAGCTTTCCGGGTCGTGTGGCCAGCATGACTAAACCATTTATGGCACAATGGGACACCGTGACGGAAACCAGAGCACACGGAAATGCCATTTACCTTCCCGCCGCAGCAGTACCTATTCATCTACTTGCACTGGTGTGCTTTCAAACTGCTAGGTTGGCAGGAGCTGGGACAGAGCAACAGGAGCTCACCCCGTCAATGCTTGCTGTTTAGAATAAAATCTTTAATCTTCTCATTCACTTGTGTTTGTATTGCTTCTGAATCTCATTAAAAGAACCACCTTCAATTTGGCAAGACACTTACCTCCCTATCTTAAAGCATAGGCACCTTGATATGGAAGAAGGCGTGCTTTCATATATTGGGTTCTCAGGCCATTTATAAATATAATCAATTATAGCACCAAGTTAGCACAATCCACTCCATCCTCAGACACACTACATCTAAAGAAGGAGGTCCTCAAAGGATTCAGCAGAACTTCCCCTGCTCCCATGCACCACGACATGTCAACCCTTGCCTGCTATGGGTGACTCATAAATGCCTTCTGTATAGAAATTTATCTGCCCTACTCCTATACAGGGCTGCCAACAAGGCAGAGCTTACTCATGCTTTCCTCTCACTCCCATTGATCTAGCATTATCAATAAATTCTTCCTTAATTAGTTTTTAAAATCCTGTGCTCACGCTGCGCCATATGAAAAGTAGTGAGGACAACACTTAATGGAAACCTTACCTGTGGAACTTATGGGCTCAAATTAAACAAACATGGGGTGATTTTACATAATGAATCTTTCACCTTTTGGATGTTGTTTTTCCACTGAGGGCCTTGGTAACGGAGTCACCAAGATCTCCTGTGATTTTCTTAAAAGGCAGGTGCAACCATGGGTGGAGCCAAGGGGAGGGGACAGGGGGCAGCTGCACCCCCAAGTAAAGTAAATCAATAAGATACTTAACTAACTGAGGTTCTGCCCCTCTAACATGAAGCCTGCCCCTCCAACATAAATCCTGGCTATGCCCATAGATGCAGTGGTGAGAGGTCCTATTTAAAATTGCGGTGAAGGCATTTTTGGAAGTTTAAAAAAATCCTTCCATTTATACCCTTTTCCTTGTCAGAGTTGCCTTAATGAATGGCTGTGTTTGCTCTTTATTAAAATATCAGGAGCTCTGACTGGATTTTCTGCCATTTCATCTATTTTGGCCCTTGGAAAACTAAAGTAAATATACACATGGCGCTGAGTGCTCTCCGCTTCCTTAAGTGCTGACAAAACCTACTTTCCAAGGGCACTGGAGATGTAGCTGTAATGTTTGCTTTATTTACAGCTGAACAACCACAGAATATTAGAAGCAAATGTACGCCCCTACAGCAGGCAGCAAGTCCACACTTTGGCATCATATTCCCACTCTCAGGGTGCTTCACTACCAGCCAATTCACAACTCCAAAACTCTCTGTACTCCTGACTCTCTCAAAATTTAAGCGTACTAACTTGGCTCCAAATGGTTTCTCGGCTTGTTTTCTTGAAGCTGGAGGCTACCAACTTCAACCAGCTCTGTCCGCTAATGCATTTCAAAGACTGGAGAGGAATAATGGTGTTCAGTCGGTTTTAGTGGTTTGCTTTAACCTGTTGGGTGACAGCAGTCACGAAATCAAAAGATGCCTGCTTCTTGGGAGAAAAGCGATGACAGTGCTCGCTTTGGCAGCACATATACTAAAATTGGAACGATACAGAGAAGATTAGCATGGCCCCTGCGCAAGGATGACACGCAAATTCGTGAAGCGTTCCATGGAACGCTTCACGAATTTGCGTGTCATCCTTGCGCAGGGGCCATGCTTTAAAAAAAAAAGAAAAGAAAAGCGATGACAAACCTAGACAGCATCTTAAAAAGCAGAGACACCACCTTGCCGACAAAGATCTGTATAGTTAAAGCTATGGTTTTCCCAGTTGTGATGTACGGAAGTAAGAGCTGGACCATAAAGAAGGCTGATCGCCGAAGAATTGATGTTTTTGAATTATGGTGCTGAAGGAGACTCTTGAGAGTCCCATGGACTGCAAGAAGATCAAACCTATCCATTCTTAAGGAAATCAGCCCTAAGTGCTCACTGGAAGGACAGATCCTGAAGCCGAGGCTCCAATACTTTGGCCACCTCATGAGAAGAGAAGACTCCCTGGAAAAGACCCAGGGAAAGATTGAGGACACAAGGAGAAGGGGACGACAGAGGATGAGAAGGGGATGACAGAGGACAACAGAGGATGAGATGGTTGCACAGTGTTCTCGAAGCTACCAGCATGAGTTTGACCAAACTGCAGGAGGCAGTGGAAGACAGGAGTGCCTGGTGTGCTCTGGTCCATGGGGTCACAAAGAGTCAGACATGACTAAACGAATAAACAACAACAACATTAACCTATTAACTCTGGTGCTATATTCTAACAGTGGAAGAAGAAGAAGAAGAAGACGACGAAGACAACAGTGCAGGAGTATGAGGCATCAATCTCTTATTGTGGCATCAGCTTCCCTGGTCCACTTCATCAGATTCATGAAGTATTATCCTGCATTACAAGCATGTATATCTCAATGGTTTGTGGAGATTTGTTAACAGTGAGAATTATAGAATCATAGAGTTGGAAGGGACCCTGAGGATCATATAGTCCAACACCCAGCAATGCAACTATGCAGCTGTCCCATACAGGGATCAAACATGCAATCTTGGCATTATCAGCATTGTGCTGTAACCAACTGAGCTATTTCCTCAGCTTAGGTCAGAGAGAAATGGAATATAGAAAGTACAGCATAACTACATAATTAGAGGTGGTCAGTCACACACAAAAAAAGTTACTGAGAACAATCCAGCAATGCTAGGATGTTTGCGTTATCAACAACTGCTTTATGAAGGACCACTGATTACGTAATTATCACCATCATTGCATTTTCTGCATTTCCTTTCCCTCTGACCTCACTATTTTCACCCCACATGCACCCATAACACCTTGCCAGGCAGAGCCAGATTTAGGCTTGATGGGGCCCTTTATATGTCCAGCTGTCCTTTGTCAACAAATTGTCACTGTTTTTTTGTGTTGAATATATGCTATATGGTAATTTATGAACCTAATAGGTTCATAAAGCCATTTGCACACAACAAAAATATGTATTTTATCAAAGTAATTGTTGAACTTAATCTTCTATTTTGCAAATGTACATCCAGGTTTTTTCCTTTAATTTTTGGGGGGCCCTATAGCTTGTTTAGCTTATATGTAAATCCAGCACTGATGCCAGATAACTCAGGATAATGCTTCACATATCTGATGAAGCGGAATGTAGTCCACGAAAGCTTATGCCGAAATACATTTGTTCGTTTTTAAGGTTGTACAAGACTCCCATGGCTACTCATCTACAAATAATAACAAAAATAAACTCTTGTGTGTATATGGGAATACAGTGTAAACAGTGCTGATTTTTCTTATTAGATTTCAGGTGACGGGAAGTCCAGATCTTTATCACACTTTTTCAGTTGACTATTTCTGGATACTTCTGTTCTGCTCAATATTTTCAGTAAACAATCATCTACAATGCCAACATGTGCAGATAACAGAATCTGCATGAACTGTGCTGAGAGTGTTCCTTGAGATTCTGCTGCTAATGAGCTGCCTGAGCACTGCCATCTCTGTTCTTGCTTTTCCAGAAGGAAGGAAGGTCTATAAAGTGTAGACATATCCCATTGGCAATCATATGTTTTATGAGCCCTGAATAGATTTTACTAGAGGTCGGGAGTTCTGCTTAGATGAGCCCCCGGGCATCACGAAATCCGAAGAGCGTGTCTTACGGAGTCTATCAACTCTTAGGAAAGCTTTGTGAACTCCATAAACCTAAGGAGAGTGAAAACACTGCTGAGTTCTTCTCTAATGTAGCTTGGAGTTGTCGCTTCTGTAGAGAATAGATGGACCACCAGCAGTAGCTGTAATATTTCCTTCCAAAAGCAAGCACTCCTGGAAATGTGAAGTAATTTTTTAAAAGACAGAAGATGCTAGGATCGTGTTTTGTGTTGGAAAACTCTCTGAAAGCCAGTGTAGCCCTGTCAGTGCTGGTGTTGAATCTGGCCCCAGTCCTATCTCAACCATAGATTTATTATCATCCTTTATAAAAATATATATATACCGCTGTATCATAAAAAATCACAGTACTTTACAACAATGTAAAAACTAAACCAGGCAATAAAATAATTAAAAGTTGAAAACAAGTTAAAAGGAAAAATAAATTTAAAACAATTCCCCATGTGATCTTTATAATCCATTATTTTAGCAAATTCTGCATCCAAAAAATAAAATTTAAGTTAAAATGTATTGATCTTCTTTCTACAAATACAGTGGTACCTCAGGTTACATACGCTTCAGGTTACATACGCTTCAGGTTACAGACTCCGCTAACCCAGAAATAGTGCTTCAGTTTAAGAACTTTGGTTCAGGATGAGAACAGAAATCATGCTTTGGCAGCGCGGCGGCAGCAGGAGGTCCCATTAGCTAAAGTGGTGCTTCAGGTTAAGAACAGTTTCAGGTTAATAACGGACCTCCGGAACAAATTAAGTACTTAACCCGAGGTACCACTGTATACATATTGTGAAATACACATATTTTATAACACATTCATACGCACTTACCTCACAGACTTGGATTTTGCACACGCTACAGTTTATTGTGCATGCAGTGTGCTTTTTGTGCTGGTTTTGCACTTGCAACATCAACCCTGATCCAAAAATATCCCACTTCTTTTGATGAGATGATTAATTTCCACCTTACAAACCAGTTTTAATGTGAAAATATATTTTAAAACTGAATAAATTTGTATTTCAGCTCCATGTGTACAAATGAAAAACAGGTGAGCAGTACTTTTCTTTTGGGGGTTGTTCCCTACCACACTGATGTGTGTACCTCAGCGGAGCAAGTTGGGAATCCACCCAGGCAATGGAAATTGCTCTCAGTACTAGGCACCACACAGAAGCAGAGAAAAGTTCAGAGAGTTTACTGTTGCAGAAGATAAGGCTCAATAAAACAGTTTTGGATGTAGGTATATACAGCTTGTAGGCTTTTGCAGATACAGATATGTACATAGCAAGTACAAAGTTGCTCTAAATAAATTCATTAATCAAGACATAACACTGCAAGTAACACCGACTGGCAAACTGACTAACAGACAGACAGACAAACTACATGCTAACAAACTACTGAGCTGATACCCATTAATCACAGATATAGTTGGGGCACTGGACCATTACTATAGCAACTGGCTTGGCTGACCATGCATCTGTGATTAGCTCATCCATGGGGTGATTTATACTCATGCCCAGTCACTTCAACATAGCATCCCATCACAGAGAGTCATAGTTGTGATTTGTCCCACACGTACAGTGAGTATCCTAAGCTTCACCAGCAATCCTCACTGTTTTTCAGTGTGAATGTGCTTGAAATAGCAGCCTCACATATATGGTAATTCAATCAGATGGGAGGATTCCTTGGAAATGAGCCAATAAAGTAACATAATTTTCATGTAAGTTACTCCTTTCACTGCTTCTTACCTCAAAATACAATACAATAAAATAAAATTCTATCTTGTGGTAAGAATTTTCATGAAACTGGAAAGACAGGCGTGTCAAAATACAATTAGAAACTGAAGTTGTCTCTGTCACTTTAATATGAATACTGCTAACAATTATTTTCGGGTGCAGTGACTGAGTTGCATGGCTGGGTACTTACACTGTTGTTGAGAATCGCAAGGGCAGAGAACACTCTTGCTTGTTGTAAGCGTTGTAAGAAGAAAAAAAAGAGTAACCAAGAGATTGGGCCAAATATATATGTATTTTGTTGTTTAGTTATTTAGTCGTGTCCGACTCTTCGTGACCCCATGGACCAGATCATGCCTGGCGCTCCTGTCTTCCACTGCCTCCCGCAGTTTGGTCAAACTCATGCTGGTAGCTTCGAGAACACTGTCCAACCATCTCGTCCTCTGTCGTCCCCTTCTCCTTGTGCCCTCCATCTTTCCCAACAACAGGGTCTTTTCCAGGGAGTCTTCTCTTCTCATGAGGTGGCCAAAGTATTGGAGTCTCAGCTTCAGGATCTGTCCTTCCAGTGAGCACTCAGGGCTGATTTCCTTAAGAATGGATAAGTTTGATCTTCTTGCAGTCCATGGGACTCTCAAGAGTCTCCTCCAACACCAGAATTCAAAAGCATCAATTCTTTGGCGATCAGCCTTCTTTATGGTCCAGCTATCACTTCTATACATCACTACTGGGAAAACCAGTAATATATATATATATAAAACCAGAAAAAATATATATGTATAAATTGGTGTTAAATGCCAGATTGCACGGGTACTGTAAAATGAGAGGTGGGAATGCACCGCTGCTGCTGTCTACCTGACAGCCATGGATTCGGATGCAGATGTGCATCTGTGATTTCTGGACTGAACCAAATCGGTCACATAACGAAGCTTTACATTTATTTAAAGGAGGAATCCTATACTGAAGATCCGCTGGCTAAAGGGGCAACGGCATATGGCACTGGAATGTGGGGTTTGCCGACAGAACACCGAGGTGAACCAGTAGAGTCATTGGCCAAACAGCCACAGTGGCTATGCATTATATTTCATTATTGGGCGAGCCCCGCGTCACTCAGCTCCTCTCTGGTCCTTCGAGGGTCCGACTTCGCCCCACCCCTTTCTCCAGTCTCTCCATCCCCCGAGGCCACGCCCAGCCGAGCCTTTCCTCCTTTCAAAAGCCTGCCTCCCGCGCCTCCGATTGGTCGGCGGCCCAGAGCCGGCTGCTCCTCCCCGCGCTGGTTGGCCCGAGGCGGCGGCGAGCCCCGCCCCGCCCGCGCGCCTCTCGCGATTGGCCCGGCGCGCGCGCAGGCCACGCCCCACTCCGCCCGCGCTGTGCGCCGCAGGTCGGCGCAGGGCCGAGGGTCCCGGCCGCCCCCCGACCGCCGGCCCGCCTTCTCTCCCCTCCCAGCGCACCCAGGGTAGCGGCGCGATGGCGGCGGCGACGGCAGCGGGAGCAGCGGGCTCTCTGGGGTCCGGGCCCGGGGCGGCGGCGGCGGTTGCCGGCTCGGCCGTGCCCGCTCCGGGTCCGTGCGGGGCGGTGTCGGGGGTCTCTGGGGGTCTCGGGCCGGTCCCGGTCCCTATGAACCTCTTCGCCACCTGGGAGATCGACCGCTCGGCGCCCAGCTGCGTGCCCAGGTGAGGTGGGCGGTCGCCGGACGGAGCTCCCCACGCCGGGGCGGGGTGGTGGGCGAGGCGGTTGGCGGGAGGGAAGGGGAGGGGAGGCTGACCCTGGGCGCGCGCGTGTTTGTGGGGTTCACACAGCGGAATGTGGCGGGGGGTGGGGCACGCGGAGGCGACATAACGGGGTGTCTGCCGGCAGGGTGGGGCGGATGGGGTGGGGCTTTCCGTGAGGTGGGGTTTTTTATTATTATTGTTAAGGGTCTGGGGGCTTGGCTTGGGTGGGCCGAGTTAGGCTGGGGTGTTGGACGTGCGTGCCTTTGTGATGTGCAAGGGCTGGTGTGGACTTTAGGGATGGTGTGCAGGTTTCTCTCCCCTCCCCCACGAAAAAGAAAGGTGTACATTTGTGGAACAAGGGTTTGTGTACGGGAGAGTGAACACAGAATTTTTTTATTGTGTGTATACGCACAGAGGTATGCATCTATACACATATCCAAGAGTATCTTGGGTCGCAGGGTGAAGCTGAGATTCCGGTCATATCTTTTGAGGTTCTTCAGGAAGTTTTTGCAGGGATGAGTGGGGTGGGTTTTCGCTCATCTAGGAGAAAGGCATTATCCCAAGTTGGTTTTTATTTTATTTTATGTGATATGGAGGATAGTTTGGGGTTTGCTGCCTTCCGTGATGGATGTGATAGACATCTGTTCATAAAGAGGGATTGAACAACAGGTGGACCACCTGAGTGGTGATTTTTAGCCCATAATTGCCAGGAGTAAAACATGACTAGTGTGGATGTATAATTTTTGGGTGGTGGTGGTGGGGGGAGAATTGGACTCTGGGCTTGACAAGTGTAAGTTGGTGGCTGCAAAGGGATGTACAAGATGAAAGGTTTGAATAGGAGAGAGGGGTGTGAGGGAATCACTGAGGCCTTACTCACACAATTACTTACTCCTCTGCTTCACTTTGTGTTGTGTACTTTGTGTTGGCTTTCCCTAGTTAACTTTTTAGCAAGGCAGCAGTGGCAGCTCTTGTCCCAGAAATCTGTACACTGCTAATTAACACTGGTAATAATGATGATGGGGTGTGTGTGTGATACCACTACATAACATCCATCTGTTCAATTACTTTCTCCCAGCTTCTTCTATTTGTTTTCTCCACTTACTCATCAGTGCTTGTTCTCACCTCTTTGCGCCTTGTTGAAATGAAGATTGGTCTGATGGTGATGAACTGTTACTGTCAAGGGCAGCGGGTGGGGCAGATGACTTTTTTTTAAAAAAAATGCTACTTGGGTGTTCTGTTGGTAGGATGGATAAAAAGTGTCTGATGTATTTGGGATTGTTTGGGCAGGCAGCCTTCATACTGACCTGATGTATAGTTAGGTGCACCTATTATTCACATTGAAATTAATGGCTTTAGGGTTTCAATCCTAGAGCCATTTATTACAGACTGAGCCCCACCAAACTCAATGGGGACTCAGCTTCTGAGAAGACAGATCATGCTCTTAGATGCTGTATCCATTTTAGTCTTCTTGTGCCTGTCAGTTAAATTGTGGTCAATAAGCAATTTGCTGTAACTACTCCAGGACAACTGTTACACCAAGGGATGGAAAATATGTCTTCCAAGTCTGGGACTTTGAATCCAACAACAACTGAAGGGCCACTGGTTCCTTATTTCTGATATAGACAAATAAAATAGTTATTTGGAATACTTAAGTTTCTGTTAGCTGTATGGCTGCATGTGCATTGAAATAAACTCACATGCCATGGCTGGCTATCATGTATATCATAAGAAGGTCACAGGCTGTTTCAACAAATGACCAGGACAAGAAGCTCCTGATTGAAAGGGAGAAACCTACACCCATGCTCATCCTATTGGAAAAGAAGACTTTTGTGTTTATCCTGGCTGTGTACCTCATTCTGCCATCCTTGGTGTCATGAAGTACAGGGGTTTCCCTCTTCCTTCAGTTTACTTGGCCCTTGTTAGAAGTGTCTTTGGGGGTTACAAATGGTGCAGACTAAAGCAGGGGTAGCTAAGCCTGTGACCCTTCAGATATTTTGTTGTTGTTGTTTAGTCGTTTAGTCGTGTCCGACTCTTCGTGACCCCATGGACCAGAGCACGCCAGGCACTTCTGTCTTCCACTGCCTCCCGCAGTTTGGTCAATCATAGAATTGTAGGTTGGAAGGGACCCTGAGGATCATCTAGTCCAAGCTCCTACAATGCAGGAATATGCAACTGTCTGATATGGGGATGGACTCCAACTCCCACCAGCCTCAACCAATGTTGCCAGTAGTCATAGAAGAGGGGAGATGTAGTTTAACTTGTGGAGGGCCACAGCTCGTAGCACTTACTAATTGATTCCCTGAGCTAGTTTGCTGAGATTAATTTGGGGGAGGAGAGGGAAGAAAGATTAACCTCTCAAACTGGTAAACAAGTATTTATGCAAATACTGTACAGAAGAGGGTATGCTACCAAAGCAAGCTGCTTTTGAAAAGCTTTGTGTATCCACAGGCTCTTGTCACATTCCATGGCAACTGATGGGAACTGTCTCCATGCAGGCAAATCATGACTTGGAATCTTGCTTCTATTAGCAGTTTGTATTGTTTATACAGCTCATCATTTGTGCTTTTCAGTCAACGTGTCCTGCTGTGCAAAGTTTGTTGGGCTTTAACAAAGCAGGTACCTCTTTTGCTATACGTAGGGCTGCAAAGCAGCCTGTCCCAAGCTGGTGCCCTCCAGAAATTTTGGACCACAGCTCTCATCATCTCAGATGAGCATGGTCAGTGATCAGGGATGATGGGTGTTGTAGTTCAGCAACATCTGGAGAGCCAGAGGTTCACCACACCTGCTTTTCAGGCGTCTTGCAAAGCTGTGATGCTGTTTATGCAAACAAACCTAGCTCAAGTTTTGCAGGAGATTCTTGAAGGGTGGTTGGCTGCCTTTCATAAATGCATGCATGCAATGTCTGAAGAGTACTTGAAACTTGTGTATTATTGCTCAGCCTTGATGTGTGTATGTCTATACAGTACACTTATATTAACAGATCTGGAAGGTGCACATCTGAACGTCCCCAGATTTTTAAGAGTGAACATGGTTGCTTTATGCTGGGGAGAATCACGGCAAATTATGCTATAGTTGGTGGAGATGGCTGTTCCCATTAGGAGCATTTGCTAACAGCTCTTGCTTCTGCTCTACAGGTTCAGAATTGTCCTGGCAGATGAATATGTGATGATGAACTTAGACAGAGGGAGCTAAGTTTTGGTGCCCACTGCTCTGTGTTAAGATGTTCTTTAGTTGTGGTAGGAATAGGAACTGGTCTGTTGCTGAGAAGATTGAGGGCATTCTTTACTGCCAAGTTCGTGTCCAAGTTCCTAACCTTTTCTAGATGTGTCCTTTGTTGTTGACTGACAAAACAGAAAGTGGCTCAGAACCCCATACAGGAACAGTTTCCTTTTATGTTAGTTGGCAAGGGGATCTTTGGCACTTGCATTGTGGGGCTATTTCTGGCCAATTTTCTGTGGTCAAATCTCTAATTTTTATTTTCACAGGTGCCACGCTGGTGCTTGGAATGAGCACAAGCTGTGATGTTTGAGATACTGATATATTGGAACACTTCAGGTTGCTTAGGAACAGAAGGAAAAGAATACCATGGAAGAGTAGGAAGTGTCACTTTTCAGAGAAAGCACAATCTCTCTCTCTTTCTCCAGTCCTAAAGCAGAGACAAAAGGCATCTGTTGGACTCAGCTGTGTGTTAAATTGCCGGGTGAGGCGCACCCAAGGATCCATGTATTGCTGAAACAGACAAACAAGGCTTTCAACAAGGTCCCCCATGATATACTTCTTGGCAAGCTGGTAAAATGTGGGCTGGGAGGTTCTCCTGTTAGATTGGTTTGCAGCTTGTTGATGGACACTTGTCAATCGGGAGAAAAATGGCATGTGAGGGAGCTGTGAGGTTCTCTCCTGGGCCCAGTGTTGTTTAATGTCTTTTATGAAGGATGAAGGAGTGGTGGGGTCACTAATCAACTTGGCAGGTGACACCAAGCTAGCTGGGTAGTATAGCTAATGCCTTTGAAGACAAAAATAGTACCCAAGATCTTGACAGGATGGAGATTTTAGGTATGCTGTAAGCCGCCCAGAGTGGCTGGTGAAACCCAGCCAGATGGAGGGGTATAAATAATAAAATTATTATTTGTTATAGAACTAACAAATTTCTCAACCAGGATAAATGTCAAGGTCTGTGTTTAGGTGGGAGGAATTGGATGCTTAAATACAGAGTGGATGACATCTGGCTTGACAGCAGTACATGTGAAAAGGACGTAGGGGTTTTAGTAAACTACAAGCTCAGCAAATGTGAGCAGTGTGATGTGGCATCTAGAAAGGCTAATGCAATTCAAGGTTGTGTCAACAGCTGCATAGTGTCCAGATCACAGTAAGTAATGATACCACTCTGTTCTGCTTATGTTGGATCTCACCTGGAGGCACTACAATTTAAGGATATCTAAGAACCGGAACGTGTCCAGAGAAGTCTGACAAAGTGTCTGGGTGAACCAAGTCCTGTGATGAAAGGTTGAATGAGTTGGGCATATTTAGTCTGGAAAAGAGGCAATTAGAGAGATGATGATAATAACCATCTTCAAAAATGTGAAGCACTGTCTCACAGATGGTGGAACAAATTTAATTTCTGTCACTCCAGCAGGTAGGATCTGAATCAATGGGTTCAGATAAAAAGAAAAAGAAATATTTAGATTCAGGTGAGCTGTGGAGCAAGTTGCCTGTGAAGGTGGTCTACTCTCTTTCAAGAAGAGGCTGAATGTCCTTCCCTCTCAGGTATGCTGCAGTGGTGAATTTCCCCCATCTGAAGATGGTCAGACTAGAGGACCTTTGAGATATCTTACAACTCTGATTCTATGCAAGCATGCACAAACATAGCCCCCCTCCCTTTTTCACATCTGCCCATCTGTCCCCCTCTCCAACAGGTTTATTCTTAGATCCTTGTTTGAAACAAGTGCAGGGGATCTCAAAATAAGAGAGATCTACATTGGAAGGGCATTGATTCTCATATACTTCTCTTATCCGCCCAGAAATCCTCTTGAGATGAATGTGGGCAGCAAATATCTTTGTGGTCTAACAAAAATCATGGGAAGGTGACATTAATGAAGAGGGGAACCGGTTGGGGGTTATGTGAGGACAGAATCTGATTGGACTAGCTGCTTTGAAGTCCTCCACATATGAGAACCTGAAGTTGAGGTAGAGAAAGTTTAGCACAGCTTTTACCCATCTGGCACCCTCCAGATGTTTTGGACTACAATTCCCATCAGCCTCAGCTACGGCTGTGTGGGCTGCAGCTGATGGGAGTGGCAGTTCAGAACATCTGGAGGGTGCCTGTTTGGCAAAGAGTGCTTTAGTGGGAAACAGAACAGATTCTGATGTTGAAAATATTCTAGTATTCCTTTGCAGAATAATAGATGTCAGAATGCCTGGACCCTTTTAATTGGGGCGTCTTGTTTACACCTTTAGCTGAATGTGGAAGGAGATACTGTGCCATGCTTTATTTCTTGGGGGGTGGGGAACCATGGCTGTCCATACTATATTACATTGCAGATTGCAGAGCCTGTCGGCAGTGAGAGAATCTTCTGGTTATGAAGGTTGCTGCAGTACCTAAACACCTGTCTCTCTTAGCAACAGGAAGGAGAGCTGCCTAGGTTGCTCTGATCCTTCAAAAGCAGGCATATTTGAAGAAGAAGAATACTCCCATTTTCTTTGCTCAGTATTTTCTTCTGGCCTACGTAATAGGGGCAGGGGGTGGCTTTGAGGTGGCACTTGATTATTATGTGGGCTGCCCTTCATTTTGAGAAGGAAAGCCCTCTTTGTTGAGAGAACGTTCTTGACCCTGGATCAAAGTGGTGGTGGTGGGGCGTTGTTAGAATTCCTGTATTGCTGAGCCCCACCATGGAACTCTGTCATGCTTCCTGGACTTCTGTATTCCAAGTACCATGTGCAAACTGAAGAACGATATTCTTTTCATTGAGGATTAGACTAGGGACCTGATACATCCTTCAGGTGGTCAGGTTCACCTGAAGGCCTCAAAGGGTTGGGTGGGATGGAAGAAGGGGATGTGGCCAGCAGGCTCAGCACTGTTTGTAGAGCAGGGGCAGCTAACCTGTGACACTCCAGGATGTTTCAGAACTAAAACTCCCATCAGCTCTAGCCAGGGGAAATGGCAGTGCTAGTTCAGCAGCAACAAACTTGGAGGGGCACAGGTTAGCCACCCCTGTTGTAGATCTCTAAGGAGTGGCTCCATCCTGAAGCCTAGGAAACAGACGGCTCTTGGCTGACTCCACGGTTTTCAGGTCCCATGGAATTTCCTCCCCCAAGAGTTAGTGATGGCTACCTACTTGGGTGGCTTTAAAAGATAATTCATGGAGGACAAGGCTATCGGTGGCCACTAGCCATGATGGCGTCAGCGTCTACCTCCACTGTCAGAGGCAGAACATCAGTTGCTAATTTCAGATGGGAAGAATGCTGCTTGACTGGAGCTGAGGGGCATCCAACAACATCCGAAGGACCTCAGATTCCCTGATGATGAGAGGCCAGTTTAAGACAGCAGAAGATGAAAACCAACCAAACTGTTGTCCATCTACACTGTTTTTGGTGGTGCTCAAGCTCAACTTGCTCTGGTAAAACTGAAGGACTTGCTACAACACTGACTTCTCAATAGGAACAGATGCTGAGTTGAATGACTTATCAAGATCCTGTGAACTGCTATATGATTGAAGCCAGGTGTTCTAGGGCTATTTATCTATTTTAATACTATCCACGTCTAATGTCACATGGACTCTTATGACCATCATTAATGAAATCTGGAGGAGTTACCATTGCCTTGCAGTTGCTCATGTAGATTAGAATCCCACCCTTGTGCTTGTCATCTTGTCAAGGATACAGACAATGAAGCTGATACAGGCAAACTCACATTAATTTAATCAATAATAAAATTGGATCTTAAATTTAAGCACATTTTCTCCAAGTAACACGTCAGCTGAGGATCAAAGTGATTGGAGTGTCACTTGAAGCAAAAAAAGGTATTCTGAGATGGGGGAACCTTTCTGAATCTATTGTGATCTAGTTAACTGATGACAGATTGTCAGACTGCGTGGGATAGGGTTTCTAGCATTGCAGAAAGCAAATATGAAGCGTAACTATTATTTAGGGTAAGAATATGGTCTTCCTATTTACCATGGGCATTATATAGGTAGGATGAACTGATGGTGATTCAGGTGCCCTCCAGATGGTCAGTATTTTGTGGGAGGGATTCAAGCACATACTAAACGTTCAGGTTTGCGCTGTGAGTTAAGGAGCAGCAAAACCCTTTAAATAAAAACAAAAACAGTCCTTTGGTGGTTTAGAAAGGTTCACAAAAGGGCCACCGAAATGATCAGGAAGATGGAACAACTCCTGTATGAGGAAAGGTTGCAGCATTTGGGACCTTCCAGTTTAGTGAAATAGTACAAAGTGACATGATAGAAGTTTATGAAATTATGGCTGGAGAAAGTGGGCAGAAAAGAGTTTTTCTCCCTCTCTCATAACACTAGAATTCGTGGGGGCATCTTATTATGAAGCTGAATGTTGGAAGATTCAGGACGTATAAAAGGAAGTCCTTTTTCACACAGCACATAGTTAAACTATGGCACTCGCTCCCGCAAGAGGCATTGATGGCCACCAACTTGGATGGCTTTAAAATTTACAGGGGAGAAGGCTGCCTGGGGCTACTAGCAGTGATGGCTATGCTCTGCCTTCATGGTCTGAGCAGTAATGTTTCCGAATACCAGTTCCTGGAAACCAGAGGAAGGGAGAGTGCTATAGCGCTCAGGTTCTTGCCTGTGTGTTTCCCGTGGGCACCTGGTGCCTTGGTGCCCATGGGCAGCACACTGGGTACCACATTGTGCAGCCACCCCAAATCATTCTGCGTTCCTTCAGCCTGCTTTTTTGAGCAATGCATTGTCTGCAGTGCAGTTGTCCCAAGTCCAACTCAGTATGGTCTCTCTAAACCACCATTCTGATTTGCCCTTGGGTAGTTGCGTTATAACCAATAAATTCCTTAAAAAGAAAATAGAGAGGTGAAGGACAGAAACCTGAAGGAAAGTAACCTGACCGTAAGTGGAAGCCAGCTGAGATGTTTGAAGAAGTAGAAGTTAAACCCGTGGGTCCTTTTAACAATGTATTTGGGTGGGAGGGAATGTTGAGGATAAAGTTATCCCATTTAAGATATGAGGGGGATTACATTAACTTGATTCTATTCTCTCATTGAGCTCTTTATTCTTGTTAAAGGCATTAAGAACCTTTTATTCAGAAACAGGCGGGTGGGGGGTGGATGGCTGCAAGATCTAAACTTATGTAAATTGTTCTTCAAAGAAACGAAGCAACCTCTTCTGTTTAATCCCCAGAGTTTTGAAATGGACCTGTGCAATCTGGAATATGGTGTGCTTGAAGCCAGGCGCAGGTTTATTGCAGAAAAGGGTATAGGGGATTTAAACAGGAGGGCCCCTGCCAGAAGCAGGAGCAGCCAGATAGAACAGAAATTCCAAAGATGCATTGGGCTGTTTCTGACTATAGTTTTGATCCCCCCCTGCAGCCCACCCCAAGTCATTTCTAGGATAAAAGGTAATGCTGGAAAGGTTTTCGCCTTTTGGGTTACTGCGGTCTCTTTCTCACTTTCCAGTAATTTGACATCATAGCACAGAAAGGGGGATTGTGAACCCACCCATGGGTGCCTTAATTCACACTGTTGTGTGGCTCTTTACCTCAGCTGATCTGTATCCAGTTGAGAGGGAAATGCTCCTACCACCATCAGTGACAAATAGGACCACTGAGAAATAGTTTGATTGTTTGCTGGACTCACACATGTTGTTCAGTGTGATTCATCCACAGTGGCTGCAACATTCTCCCTTGCATATGCATGCTGTTTCTCTCTAACGGCTCGGGCTTGCACCCTGGGCAATGCCTCTCATTGTGCAGGATGCGTATGGGAAGGGCGCCTGTGTCTGCTCCTAAGTCATATGCAGAAATCCTGGAGATGAAGGCTTAAGTCCTACACACACTTAATTTGAGAATAAGTCTGATTGAACTCAGTGGGGCTTACTTCTGAGTAAAACAAGCTTGTGGCACATTTATTGGGATTGCGCTGTCAAACTCTTTTGACCCCCTTTCGTCATAGCATTAGTTGCTTATGTGCATGTTGTCTTTTGACCAAAACATTAATAGGACTAGAAGTAATTTTTGGACAGCTGGTATAAAAGCACTACTTACCCCCAAACAAGCACCCAACCCTGATATTTTGTGGATGATCCTAAAATTTGGGCGGCAACGGCCTGGTTTGCAGACCACCCATAGCCAATCCATGGCTTTGTGTGAATGTGCAGGAGAGGAGATTGTGCGTGCTTGGCTGCTCCGTGGTCATCCTGCTGCTGCCCTGAGCTAAGCCATGGTTTGCCTTAATGTGCCATCCAAAACCCGGCTTGTGGTTTAGCTGTAGCCAGGGATTGTCCTGTGGTTTATGGGTTGTGGTTTGTCCAGGACAGCTAAACCATAAGCTTGGGTTCCGAAGACACGTTAAGCCACACCATGGCTTAACTCAGTACAGCAGAAAATAAGCCAGCGAGGAGCAAAGGGCTGCGATCCCTTTTCCTGGAGATGCACACTTGCATGTTTGTGCTAAGCTGTAGTTTGGCATGTCATGCTGCGTGAAGCCAACCAATACAGAGGAGCTGTTATTGGAAGGATGCATCCAGAAAAAATAAGATATTGAAATACATGTCAGCAGGTTTCCTTGTTACAGAGTCGCTGAAGCTCTAACCATTTGCAGTTCTAGAATGTTTGGAAGATCAGGTTTCTGAAGTCCTCCTTGGGCATTATTGCCTGAAGAGGGAACACAGGTGGTAGAGCAGGGCAGTGGGGGCACATGTTTAACCCTGGCCCCACGTGACTCCTCCAGTCCCTCTGCATGCGTACAGTGAACCTCTTCAGCGGGGAGCCTTGTGCATCCATGGAGGCTCTGCTTCTTAGCTGGAACCCTGGAAAAAGAGGACTCATACTATGAACATGTGAAGGGGGCAGAAGTAAAACTGCAGCCCCCCCCCATCGGTGTTCCCTCTTGGGGCAATAATTCCTGGAGAGAGCTTGACTCTTTACTTCTGTTTCTGTTCTAAGTCACTTGTACCATACTTCTTAGAAAAAATTCCAGATCATGTTGACTGCCCATGCCAGTTAAGAGTGAATGCCGCAAGCTTCTGTGAATCTTAATTTGTGTGGTGACGTTGCACGTAATGCAACCCAGGGGTATAAATAAGAAAGTTCTTGTTGTTGTTGTTACTACATGTGTGGTGATTGAATCTAGGGTTTTGCAAGGTGGCTGTGCTTGCAATATTTCCATATCCCTCTGTGCTTGCATAATCATTTTCTGCCTCCTTTCTGCCTGCAGGACCACAGTAACCTTGTGCGGCACTGAGATGTTTACATGTTGAACCCCTTGTCCTTAAGAAGATAGCATTCCCCCGGGGAAGGGGAAGACCCTTTTTGAATGTGAACTTTGCTGGCTAGGTCTATGGGCATAAAAAAAAGAGCCCCCCTGAAACTTAGTGGGGAGCATTCCTGACAAATCTCTGCTGGAAGGGCGGACCACACATGGGACTGGCAACACTAAATGTTGATGCCCAGATGAGGCCAGTCAGACCTCTGTAACACAGGGGACAACTGGCGGTGCTCCTCTGGATGATTTCTGTGATCAGGCTGGGAGTTAGAGATCAATCAGTCCTTAGGATGCTTTTTACGCTTGTCCTTGTTTGATGAAATTTATTAAACCTTGAAAGTTCACCTGAAGATGTCATTGTTTGGGTCTTGAGCTTTGAATGAGCTTGGTCTGATGCAGCTGCTGGAAAGGCAGGATTAGACTGCCTTGCACAGTGCACTCCACGACTCCCATTTTGCAAACACTCACCAAAGGCCCTGAAGAACTGGGAGGCACCCGATTTGGAAAAGGTCAGTTAGATCATCCACTCCAGGGATGTGTCTCTCTGGCTTGTGTATTAATCACATATCCCAGCCACGGAAATCTAAGCCCTCACAGCTCTAGCCAAGAAGAATTACTCGTCAGAGTTCTGCCGTGCCTCCAGTTGGAGAGGGGCCCTTGCCTCCAGGCAGCCATACGAGGTGAAAAGGCAATGGTTTCTCCACCCTCAGAGGGTGGACTGACTTGGCACAGGGAGAAAAGCTCCCTGCCCTTTTTGAGGCTGGGTGGTTAGGGAAGGCTCCCCACCCTTTCCTGTTCCTACCAGGGTGAAGGCTTATGGTAAAGAACCAAGCTTGCTGCCTTAGGCCCAACTTGGCCCTCTAGGCCTCTCTATTACTCTCTCAGAATTCTCCCCTGTCCACATCCCTCACCAAGCCTACTTCATGTGCAGAGGAGGGCAACCAAGATGGTCAAGGATCTGGAAACCAAGCCTTATGAAGAATGTTTGAAGGAGCTGGGTATATTGTGCCTGGAAAGATGAGACTGAGAGGAGATATGATAACCACTTTCAAATATCTCAAATCCTGTCACATGGAAGTTGGAGCAAGCTTGTTTTCTCCGGCTCTGGAGGGTAGTCTTGAACCAATGGCTTTAAGTTACAAGAAAGGAAATTCCAACTAAGCATACAGAAAACTTTCTGACAGAGCTGTTCAACAGTGGAACCATCTCCCTCAGAATTGGATGGGCTCTCATTCCTTGGAGGTTTTTAAGCAGAGGTTGGATGGCCATCTGTTGTGGGTGCTTCAGTTGAGATTCCTGCATTGCAGGGGGTTGGATTAGATGATCCTCATGGTCCCTTCCAACTCTACAATTCTATGAATCATATCCTCCTTATGTTTTTTTGCCTAGCTGGAAGGTGTCTGAGCTCTCGCTTGACCAGATGGAGGCTAGAAAGGGTTGTCTGTATAAACTAGGCTACACCATTCATTGCTTTACCTGCTTTTTGCCTCTGGCTCTGCCTACCACTGTCATGTGGCCTGTGGAAGGTTTCCCCAGATGGCAGTGTGGCCTTCATTCTTAAAAAAGAGCTCCTGCTCCACATCTCAAAACCCGAGAGGCTAAGTGGATTTAGGATTGCAGGCTAGATGCATGCTCGAAATCCAATTGCACTAGAGAAATTCTTTAACTTCAGCCTTAATATTAAAGCTGCCAAGTAAGTCTAGCTTTTTAATTTGCTGCCCAAATCTAATTTGTAGAAGAGGGAGAGGAACATTAATGAGAGGCTATCTGGCTGATATATGCCCCAAATACTGGGTTTAGACAGATGTAATTTGAAGCAGGCTAAATATGAAAAGTGTGAAAAATGGAAGGCAATGCTTGGTGTCTCCAGGCTTCTAGAAATGATTACAGAACTGCAACAGAAGAGGCAGGGAAAGTGAGCAAGCTGTGCCTGGGAGGAAGGGCCATCGGCCCCTGTCTGTGGCTACATCTGTGCGTCTCAGCAGGTTGCATCCCAAAGTCAAGTCCAATTAGAAGTGGCCATTGGATCCCCTGCGTGACACGGTTGTGGGAGAGTCTGAAAATGCTGGTGCTGGATGGATCTGACAGAAATCAAAAGGAAGGCTTGAATCTCTGTTGGATACAGAACGACCTTGTCCAGATCTGTTTGGCATTAACTAGCTCTCCTCTTGCCCTCCTGGAGGAAAAGTGGTGTGATGGAGATCTGTGATGTCACCCAGTGCTGCACACCGGCCACCGCAGAATTAAAAAAAAAATAAGTTGTGCCCTGCTGTGTGCTTCTGGTTGCCAGCTGGGTCAGCAGGCCTCTTGCGATCTTATGATGCCTCCACGGTTCTCCCATAATAATAATAATAATAAAAATAAATTTTATTTATATCCCGCCCTCCCCAGCCAAAGCCGGGCTCAGGGCGGCTAACAACAATCACTGTAGCATGCAGTGCCTTAGGGGTTCTCAGGGCATCCTTACTCTGAAGCTTGAGATGGTACCTCTGCCCATGTATTGCCAGAGAATAAGGAGGCGCGATCAATGTTGCATGTGCTTTGCCACTCTATGGAGCATAATGTGTGCTTGGTGCATCTTGTTTGGGGACTGAGCTTTTCAAGAAATGCTGTGATGCTCGAGTGCCCAAGAGCAGCTGTGCTAGTGGGCATTCTGTGGCATGTTGGCAATGAAACCCCCCTCCCCCTTCTGCTGATTTAATGTTTTATGGAGTTAACTGCCTGGAGAGGTGAGAAATAACAAATCTACAGCTCTGAATTCAAAAATGAAATTGAGATCGTAAAAGCAATTGGTGAAATTGATGGGTAATCTAATTTGCGCCGCATGCAATAAACTTGGGTAGTAACCCCTTCACAAAAACTTTGAAAATTGCTGAAAGTTTGTGTTAGTTTTTTGAAAGAAAGAAAGAGGATTCATTTTCTCCATCTTTAATTACAGAGTTGCTATAACGCCTCCCATAAAAGTACATGACAGCCTTAATTAATGGCTGCAAAATTAAGCTCTCCGAGTTGGGGGATTCCGGGAGGTGGAAGAGTGAGTGCAGTGTGAGAAAACACTATTTCTTGGAAGAGCTTCAATACTGATATGTTGCAAAGCACCCTGGCTGCTTAAATTGGAAATAAGCTACTGGAATCTTGGATATAAAGGCAAGAGGGCAGAGTGAGCTGCTGTTCCTAGTAGCTACAACAAACTGGAACCGTTGAGCTCGAACTGCCACTTAAATTCTGGACTCTCAATTGTGTACCGGTGAATCGGTGAATCTGGATGTACTCTTTGAAGAACTTTATATCGCTCATGGCTTTATAAGGCACCACCTTTTAGATGAGGCAGTCAAAATGATGCTGGCGGTGGAGGTAATGGGATTCAGATTATGAGTTGTGAACTGTGCTAGCTAAGAAGGGATCTTTGTATATAGTACATTTTATTACCAGGTGCTTGGGATGAGGACCATAGGGACACACTCTACTGTAGAGGAAGCCAATGTCCTCCAGAGGTTGTTGGAACTACATCAGCCCCAGCTAATTGGGCTAATGGTCAGGGGTGATGAAAGTTGTAGGCTAGCATCATTTGGAGGGCACCAGCTTGGCTATCCCTGGGCTGCTCTCATTGCTGAGTGCCTGGCCAGCCACGGATGAATGCAGAACACAAGGTTTAATCGCCCTACCTTTAACCCGTTGCAAGGTGGTGATCTTAGACGCCACACCAGCCAACCTTTTCTAGCTGGATGCCTGCTGCACTTGGGTTCTCAACATCAACATATAATGGGCTGTATCCTAGGCTACTTGCTGACTCCTGACTATTCTTGTTTAGCCTGAACTCTGGAGGTTAACACCTCATTCCTAGATTGACTCTTTCCCCCAAGCTGCCGCTTCATCTCAGCTTGCTGCTTGGCTTTCTTTGCCGGTTCTCTCCAGCATGACCCCTTGCTAAAAACCACTTCTAGTGCCTTCCCTACAACAGGGGTGGGGGACCTGTGGCCCTCTGGGTGTTACTGAACTATGACTTCCATCATCCCTGAACATGGGCCATGCTGGCTGGGGCTGATGGGAATTGGAGTCCAGCAACACTTGGAGGGCACCAGGCCCCTCTTACAATACTGTTTTTAATTAATTTGATGAAAAATTGTGAATATTTGTTTTAAATCATTTGCACCTTGTATCTCTGCAGCTTTCAGTGTCTGGTAGGGGAAGTTTCTTGAAGCTTGACGCAGAAATCTTGAAATCTTGATTCAAATAATTCCTGGAATTGGTGTCTTGGCTGCACAGCCAAAGAATCCGTGAGACCACCTTTTCTTGTTGACTGTGGGTTGCCAGATTTTCACTCGGCCATTGTAGCTATGCTTTTATTTCTGTGCTTCAAGCCACTCTTAAACACCATTGCCTGGCAATGTTTGTCTCGTTGCTTTGGGCTTTTTCTTTTGTATAGAATTACTGACAAATGCAATAGATAACAATATATGTGCTGCAAAAATGTCATCTGCTGATTTCTGAAGATCTAGAAGTCAATAAAGGTATAGGAGCAGACTGGGCTGGCTTTATTTTCCAGTCAGTTGGCAACTATATTACTTGCCTTGAATCATTTATAGGACACTGCACTCCTCCATGGAACTGTTGAACATTGCATGGCATTGCTACCACTCTTCTTGGCAGATGCACTGTATCTTTAGGCAGAAACTCTACAGGTGTGACTGCATTATCACTGAATCTAATGCCAGGGGGAGAGGCACCTGTTGATTCACTGCCTGTCCTGCAGCTTTTGATGGTGCAAAATGTTAAGTCCATTACCACACTGGGGTCCACACATTCTGACTGCTCCTTCCTCTGCCTGTGTCAGAGAACTGGGGGGTGGGAGAGAGATGAAGTGGGGGGACCCCCCATCTTGCTGAACTCTGGAGCAGACTGAAGCCGCACCAAACTCTTGTCCTTTATATACCGCCCTATACCCAGAGGTCTCAGGACGGTTCACAGAATAAAATCAAAATATAAAACCACAAAATACATAACCAACATAAAAACAACCACCCAATAGCCCCACCCCGCAAAAAAACCACATTTTAAAAGGGCATAGGATGTCAATCAAATCAACCAAAGGCCTGGTTAAAAAGGAACGTTTTTGCCTGGTGCCTAAAGGTGTATAATGAAGGCGCCAGGCGAACTTCCTTGGGGATAGCATTTCACAGACGGGGAGCCACTGCAGAGAAGGCCTGTTCTTGTGTTGCCCCCTCCAGATCTCTCAAGGAGGACGCACACAAAGAAGGGTCTCAGAAGATGATGTCAGGGTCTGGGGGTAGGTTCCTATGGAAAGAGGCGGTCCTTGAGGTCTTGCGGTCCTGAGCCGTTTAAGGCTTTATAGGTCAAAACCTGTTCCAATTCTCAGTGCATCATAATGGGACACCCTCCTTCCCTCCAAGTTCCTTGCAATTGTTTCTGGGCATCCTGCCTTGCCAGGGGCAATGATATCTGCCAAGCCAATTTGCAGAGGTCTGTTGTCAGAGAAGAGACCATCTCTCGCTTTCAAGATGCAAAGAGGAGGGGTGGCTTGAGAGCCCCTGCCTGACCTTGCCAAGGGTTTTCTGGCTGCCCTTCAGCACTTTTCAATCTCCCATTACAACTAGGAACAAATCAGAGGTTGAACTGATAGTGCTCTCTGGCCCTTAAACACTGATCCAGAACTATTGCAGAGACAAAATGGTTTGTATCATGATCCCTCTTCAGTTTCTTCTTGTCTGAAGGCTCTTTTGGATGTTTGAGAAAAATGCAAGTCAGCCCTGTAATGACGCCTACAAAGGTTACTAGTCTTCCAAGAGTTTCCACCACTCCAGATTAATAGGGGCCTTCATTCATGGCTAGCTTGGAAATCTAGTGGGCTGGCGAAGGAGGCGGAGAGCGCAATCTGTCCCCGTTCCGTTAGCCTGCTCACTTGCTTGCATGGTATTGCACACACTCGTCTTCATGAAGCTCCCAATTGCCTATGGCAACCAGGCTGAGTTGTCAAATACAAAGCTGCTATATATGTTGCTGAGGTTTTACGATATTAGAATGGAATTAGAGCGGCTGACCAGAAGCATCTTTTAATTATAGGTTTCCGAAGTAGGGATGTAGCTATGTTGCCGCTTAACTTAGATGACTTAAATGTGCTTTGGCTTAAATGTGCATTGGCTTAAATGTGCATTGTTCTGCTGTGCAAAGCTGGAAGTTGTATTGACAGAGGACCATAGGGATTGGGCTTTTAACACCATCTTGTTCAGCAGGGATGGCTAACCTGTGGCTGTCTATCTAGACCAGGCTAAGGGGCGTTAGAGGATCTTAAGTTCCCCCACACCTGCTATACATGCTTACCTCAGTGGGACTAGGCACTAGGAACAAAGTGTCATTGAATATAGAGGGATTTGGCTACGACCTGTATTTGGTTGCCTTACTAGTAAATTCTAATAAAGAGGGGTCTGGATACTCACCCTCTACTTAGAAGCAAAGCTCTTTCATTGCATATGCCAGATAGAGAATTGAAGTGGCATTTGCTGGCATATTAGGTGCATGATTTTGAAGAGTTTGCTGCTATGGAATTAATTTGAATTTAACTCAGTTTCTGCTTCTGTTTCAGAGGCTTGGGAGTGCCTGGCTCTGTATACGCGTGGGTGTGTGGGGCTGACATTTTAAAGTAGCAGATAATTAAATCACAAAGTTTCAAAACAATGAATGAACACACACTCATTTCCAAAAAAGAGAGTTAACACCATTTGACAATGCTTCCAGCTGAATGTCTTCATAAAGGCTGCAGTCCCGTACAATGCAATAGACCCAAGTGCCTGGGTGAAAACCACTTTGAACTTGGTGGGACTTAACTTCTGAGTGGGCATGCACCTGTATAGGCTTATGTTGTCAGTCTAAACAGTATTCCAGGACACAAGGATCACTGTTCTGTTAAGCAATAAAGCTCCTGTTCTGTTTGTTATTTCATTTAAAACATTTGCACAAGTGGATTTTCTTCATCAACATATGTTTGCCGGGCCTTGTGCAGCTATTTCCCCTTTGTTGGCAATATGTCCCTCCCCCATTACATTGTCAAAAGGCACCCGCCTGATATTAACAAATTGCTCATTGAAGCATTATGTTTTTGCAGCGCGAATGGCCGGGGGTTGCCATCTTTTTTCCAGCTGCACCTTTTAGCAGAAACTTGACATAACACTCAGGTTTAGCAGGCGGAGCTTTTCCTGGCATGGGGCTTAGTGGGGTGGCAGAATCTTCACCTGCCGTCTTTCTTGTGACCCCATCTGCACTATGGCATCATACCATTTTAAGCTTTCATGGCTTTCCATCCCAAAATCCTGGGAAGTGCAGTTTGTTAAGGGGGCTGAGAGACACCTTTCCTCTCACAGAGCTGCAGTTATCTGAGTGGTTTTGTGCACTCCTCCATTGTCTGTTGAGACAGACAGATATGCCAACCAATGAACAGTTAATCCCTCTTTCCAGGGAAGTGTAGTTCTTTGAGGTGAATAGGGGTCTCCTAACAATGATGCTGAGCACCCTTAGCAGACTCCAGTTTCCAGGATTCTTCAGGAGAAGTCATGGCTATTTCAAGTGGTATGATACTGCCTTTAACGTATTGTGCAGATGGGGCCTTGTAGCTCAGCAGCTTGAGGGAGCTTTTTCAAGGAAGGTGACAAACCTAACAGGTGTTCCCGGAAAAGAGGTTTAGTTCAGTTGGATGAAGCAGATAACCTGTGTGCCAAATAAGATACTCGAATGATTTCTCGCCTCTTGTGGCTCTTTATTCTAACAAAACTGTCGCTCTAGATTTTTATCAGAACATCGGTCTTGAGCCAGGTGGCCCAGAACGCTATCTGGGAGTGTTGATTGATTTCCAGAGTGTGATTTTTATGGGCCATTTTGAAACTATTACTCTGGCTTGTAACTCCAGACTGGCAGTGCTGAGGTGAGGTCATCGTTCTTCATAGAATCAATTGCCTTTTTGGTAATAGATTTTTTTTTTGGTTGTCTTCGTTTCTGATGGAGTATAAATTGGGCTAAAAGGTGTCTCCAAAATGATTACTGGATTGCTCTGTGTTCTGTAAAACCGTCTTGACTATATTTTACTCTGTAATCACATCTGTTTTCCACGATAGTTTCGCTCCTGACTTTCCTGCAGTTCCCTTTTCTTTCTCAGCTTCAAATACACTGGGGCACCTTTTGGGCTTGCAACCCGGCAGCTTACTCTGTAGCAGTTCCCCCCCAAACAGTGCTCCCCCTGCCTGATATTTTGGGCTATAGCTCCCATCCTCACCATGGCCATTAGTCATAAGAACATAAGAGCTTGACTGCCAAATCAGGCCAAAGATCCATCTAGTCCAGCGCTTTGTTTTCACTGTGGCCAACTGGATCCCCATGACAAGACTACAAGCAGAACTTAAGTACAAAAGCAACTCTTCCCACCTGTATCCAGTATTCAGGGCACACTGTGGAAGCACCATATAGCCCTTGTGACTAATAGACATTGATAGCCTTATCCTCCATGAGTTTGTCTAGTCCTCTTTTAAAGCCTTCCAAGTTGTTGGTTATCACTAAGAATATAAGGAGAGCTTGCTGGGTCAGGTCATCATGGACTGGCTGGGTGAAGAGGAATGGAGGGAGGCACCAGGTGGGGAACCACCAAGGAAACCCCCGTGGGAAGAAGGCTCAGCGCCTGGGGAGAGGTGGTGGGATGATGATAAGTGGGCAGAGGGAGAAGAGGGAGAGAACTGGAAGGAGGAGGTGTCAGAAGATGAAGAGGTAACAGGGTTTAGTGAGCAGGAAGAAGCTGGAGCAGATAGCAGCCCAGAATCAGAGGCTGGAGAAGAGGAGGGCCAAGAGGCAGAGATGAGTCAGGCTGTGGCCAACTCCCCTCCCCTCTGGTCTCCCAGAACCAGAAGAGGTATGAAGCAGGTGGAGCAAAAACAGGCATCAGAGTCTCAGATTGCTTGGGAAGGAACCGGGAAAGAAGGAGACTTAGAGAGCTGTGGGAAGGTGGGAACTTTAAGGCCTCACAACTGCTTCATTGAGGCAAGTACTACTGGGAAGAGTTGCTATGGTCAGTAGGTCTACACTGTTTTGGTTTCTTTGAATATAGAGTTACCTTCATGGGCACCATTTTTTTTTTTTTTTATTGCTGACCTGCACCTCACTCCAGCTCCTGACACAGGCCAATGGCCCATCTGTGCCAGCACCCAATTCTCATAGTGGCCAACCACAGCTGCCTGTGGAAATCCCGGAAGCAGAACCTGAGCACAAGAGCACCCTCTCTTCCTGTGGCTCCCCATCCTTACTTTAAGGTTCATTTGCACATTGTTATTCATTGATTAGGCATCTGTGTTCCATAGCTGTCCAGATCCTTAGATGGGGCCACTCTTATTATGCTTCATAAGGAGGAAATTCACTGTAGCTCTATGTTGTTAGTTCCATCAGCACAATGTCTTCAGTTTGCTGGATAGCTCAGTTGGTCAGAGTGTGGTGCTTATAATGCCAAGGTCGTAGGTTTGATCCCCATAAGGGACAGCTGCATATTCCTGCGTTGCAGGGGGGTTGGGCTAGATGATCCTCAGGGTCCCTTCCAACTCAGACCACTGTTTGAGTAACAGACATTTGCTCTCACTGTGCTAGCTGATTTTCAGCTACCGGTATTTGCATACAAGTATAGGCAAAGCTGTCAGAGGCTTGTCTAAAACTAGAAATTGAGAAGCACCTTTTCAGAGTCTGGCATCCTGGTAGTTGAAAGGAAGATTTGTGTGTTAAATCAGTTGTACCAAAGACTGATTTCTAACGAGCTTCTGATTGCAAAAAAGTCAGCTTGGTTGATTACCTTAATTATAGATGAAGCTGTTAGCTATACCTCGTCATGTTTGCATAACATTTTCTATTATAAGCTTCTTTTTCCTCAGCTCCTTTAGTTAATTTTGCTGGGTGTGGGTCCCTGGTGGCCTTTTAAAACTGTTGCTGCAGAAAAATTTGGCATGTGCCTTGTTCCCTGTCTGTGAAGAAAGATGCTCCTGTTGAATGTTTGCCTAGCAGAAAGCTCAGGTGCCTCTGTGGCAGATCAGTGGTGCAGCCCTAGATTAAGCTCTACACAGATCTTCCATGCTTCCAGTCCAAGTCATAGGCACGGGCTATGCAGCAACCAAAATGCAGTTCCAGGTTTTTTGACTACAACTCCCATAACTCCTGACTGTTGACCATGCTGGCTGGGGCTGATGGGAGTACTAGTCTACAGCATCTAGAGGATATCATGTTGCATACCCCTGGCTTGGTCTATTTAGAGAAGGCAATGTAAGGTGCTTTGAGAATTGGATGCCAGTTGCTTAATTATGCTCCTGTGTCCAGTTCTGCCAATAAGTCAGTAAAACTCTTAGATGTGATGGGGAAATATTTGTGTTTTTTAAATAAAAAATATATATATTTAGTTTTTCAGGTTTTAACAATTTACAATTATCAAATGAGCCACATAAAAAGAGAATTCCAAAGAATCTCCTGACCTTCCCTCCTCCCCTTTGTGGGTCCTTATATTGACCTTTTCCGCCTGCATCTTATCTATTAGTCCAAATCTTTTAAATCTCCATTATACCCAAAATTCAGCATTAAATTACAAGTGTTGTTCCAATTCTCCTAATAATTTTAATTGTTTACAATGGGTATTAAGGTAAATTATTTATTTTCCCCATTCCTTATTGAAATTTTGGTCTTCTTGGTTTCTGATTTTTCTGGTCATTTTTGCCAATTTGGCACAGTCCACCAACTTAAATCTGCTATTTTTCTCTGTTAGGGACTTGATCTTCTTTCCATCTCTGGGCTAATAGCATCCGAGCAGCAGTGTTTGTGTACATAAATAATCTTTTCTGATCCGTTGGAATTTCGGATCAGAAAAGCTTCTTTTTTAAAAAAGAAAAGGTTATTTTAAACATTTTTTCTAGTTCATTATATATCATTTCCCATAATTCTTTTGCTACCTTACACGTCCACCACATATGGGGAATTATTTGTTGTAGTAGTTGAAATTATTTAGCGTACACCATAATGTAGGACATGATGACATTATTTTCCATAACTTTTCTGAGAGTGATGCTCCTTTTTGTATTCTGATTTTTTTTAAAAAAACACAAAAATAAATGAGGACATGTTGACTGTTCTGCCCTAAGAATTTTAACATTTTTCTGTTTGAATGCTTCCTCCCCCCCCCCAACTTTAGTTTTTGGGAGAGCATTTTGTGAAAGAACACAGGTTGCTTGAGCACCAGTTGGCAACCTTCAAGTCCTTTGTCCTTTGCTTTCGAGAGAGCTGTTAAGTGGTACCTTACAGTTGCAAACACTTGTGCTGTTTTCATGTTAGCTCATTAGCACATCTCCCTGTTGCAGGTGGAAACAATAGCTGAGTCACTTTGCATCTCCTGCCACAGCACAGTAGGCCTGCACTTCCAAGCTGACAAAACACATTTCGAGCCCTTCAATGCAGTGGTCTGTACCAGCAAAAGGGCAACTTGTTTGTTGAGTCACACAAATCACTGCCAAGTCAATTATTTTGCTCAATCTCCCTTTTCATGTAAAGCAGATTGAGGGGCAATTAACCCCTCTAAAGGTAAAGCATGTGGGGTGATAAGATTCAGAACAAAGTCATTTTGAAACTACAAGTAGGAGCTGAATATTTATTGGAGCTGTTCACTTGTAAAACTGGAAGATGATTGGGTGGGGGGGATAGGCTGTGACGGGGAAGAATATTCCATAGGCTGCGAAGGGGAAGATTATTGCGGCAAAACAGAAATGAAGAGCCCAAAGCAGTTGGATTTAACACCTTTTTTCAGGAGCACTTACCTTTGCCTCCAAGGAAGAATTTAAATGAAACTTCGTAGTGCTTGATCCTAGCATCCATGTGACTTACATTCTGTCAGAATAAAACTGGAGAGAGTGGCTGCTGTGCTCAAGTCCTGCTTTTGGGCTTGGCCACTGCGACAGCAGGATGCTGGGCTAGGTGGGCCTTTGGCCTGATCCTGCAGGCCTCTTCTTAAGTTTCTTTCGGCGCCAGCATAGGACTCACCCTTTTCCTTTTCCTTCTATTTTCTGGTGCCTGTTTCCCCCAGCCCCAATTTTGTAAAAGTGAATTTCCCTTTGATAGTAATTGGTACTGTGTGCATATGACGACCTCGGATCTCCCTCGAGAGGTTGTGGACGCTCCTTCCTTGGAGGTATTTAAGCAGAGGTTGGATGCTTTAGCTGAGATTCCTGCATTGCAGGGGGGCCGACTCAATGGCCCCTGGGGTCCCTTCCAACTCTACAATTCTATGACCTGAAACAATTGGGTAAATCCTCCCCCATCATCCAGCCCGGACACTGAGGTCCAGCGCCGAGGGCCTTCTGGTGGTTCCCTCGCTGCGAGAAGTGAGGTTATGGGGAACCAGGGAGAGGGCCTTCTCGGTAGTGGCGCCTGCCCTGTGGAATGGCCTCCCAGCAGATGTCAAGGCAATAAACTATTTTACTTTTAAAAGACAAGTGAAGGCGGCTCTGTTTAGGGAAGTTTTTGATGTCTGATGCTGTCTTGTTTTTAATATTCGGTTGGAAGCCGCCCAGAGGGGCTGGGGAAACGCAGCCAGATGGGCGAGGTATAAATAATAAATTATTATTATTATTTAAATACTTCGGGTAGCAACCAGTGCTGTGTGCATGGAGGTCCACTTGTGTGGCAGGGCTTCCAGTTCCTCTCCTCTCTGGTGAGCCCCAAAAGCTGTTTTAGAGGGTCCCCAAATCCTTTGGAACAGTTTTTGAGAGTGTGCAGGAGGCTGCATAGCAGAGGAGGCGAAAGCTCTGTTGCAACAGAGGAAGTCTGTTGCGCAAGTTGAACAACTGCGTTGGGTACAGCCCTTCAGGTTCTGTGTCTTGTCTTCTTCTTTTGCCTTCTGGAAATACTAGATCTTTAACCTGTGTATGAGGCTTATGCATCTCTGCTGATGTTGGACTTGCCTTTGTAGTAAGTCTGTGATCTTTACTGCTCCTTTTCCTGGGATTTGTGAAGCTGCTCCAGGGCCACATCGAGCATCTTTCATGCTGGATGAAATGTGGACCTTTCTTTTGGTATATATGTTTCCCATGTTGGCTCAGTGCCAAATTTCATGGCAATATAATGGTGTGAATAAATTACAGTTGATGCCGCAGACGCTAATGTCTCCTTTCGAAGAACCTTATGATGTAGCCAGTATTCTCCCTTTTTCAATGAGAAATTGATAGGTCTGTTCTTAGCCACCTAGTTCATTAATGGCCAAGTCTGCTCAATCAAAGTTCATTATCCAAGTTCAGTTTTGGGTTAGGGAAGCAAGGACAGGGTTATAACTCAAGACCAAGGGGAATAGAATTGTTGTTTGATTCTGTTGTAAGTCATTCATAATAGATTGGAGTGTTTTTAGCTGGGAACTATAGGTGATAACAAGTGGTATATTCTCTTACAGGTCTGTTCTGCTTATTCCTGTGCCAATTTGTTTGGTGGTGTCATCCCATGTGTTCACCAAAGGTCTGGTAGTATTGAGAAATACCTGTTGCAAATGGTTAAGGGTTGAGTCCTTCCTTGCCTCCGGCCTGCCAGCATTTTGTGGGAGGGATCCAGAACTTTAGGTTTGTGCAGTCAAAGTGGATTAAAGTGCTCTGACACTGTAGGTCAAGAAATCCCATTAAAAAGCCACAGCAGACTTTCCGCAGTTTAGAAAGTGATGGAGAAAGGAACTGGGAAGTGTGGACTGAATGAGTGATTAATGGAGAGAACCAGGATGAGTGCTTATTGTTGTATAACTGCCTTGTAAACAAAATCAGAACAAATGCTCTGTAAAGACCAGACATAATCTAATCTTTGCGTAAGTTGTTTTCAAGCAAATCAAGATGAATGTTGAAGAAACATGTTATCTCGAGGAGCCCCTTGTCTTCTGAACTGCACAAAGCTGTTCTATTGGCTATGGTTGTTCTGTGCCTTCACCATTTCCGTACTCTGAATGAATTTTGCAGATTTTCGTAGGCTTATATTTTATTTTTTGTAGAGCTGCTGGCTTTTGCTACCTACAGGGAGGCGAAACAGCCCATTTGGTGCACGAGGCTCCCAGACCCCGAATCTCTTCGCTCATCCACATCCCTTGATGTTCGTAATTGTGTGCTCAGGCGCTAGCTGCTTCCACCAGTGGGACCTGAGATAATTACCGTGCCGGTGTGTTACGCACACGCAGCAGCCAGAACCTCTGGAGAAAAATCATTAGCCTTGGAGGCATATGGCTGTGTACCGGAGGCCCTGGGAGGCTTTTTCTCGCAGACAAAAGGTGAAGGTCACCCAGTGGGTCCTCTTAGTGCTTGGAGGGTCACGAAGTTGGAAGTAAGTGAGAGGTTTGCAAGCTCCCCCAGCCCATAGCGTTAAAATAAAGCGCTTATCTGGTTGTGAGGAGCATGCCAAAGTGGTGATAAGGGGCCCGGTTTCAAGGAGGTCAAAAGCCAGCCCCTGAATGCAAATGTCTGCTGTGAGATCCACAGGGGCCTGGGGAA